AGCGAAAACTTGCGGGCAAAACAGATTGGCGACCCGCGTAGTTCGGCTCGATTCGAAAAGTGAAATAGCCGTAGCATCTTTGTAGACGACCAAATTAATTTAGTTTTGTGCTATAACATCACTATTTTCTTTGTTTTTGACAATTTGATGGTCCACACGGATAGACAAGTATTCAGAAAGAGAGAGAAAGAGAAGGAGTAGTGAGAACTTCCGCGCAAAACAAAATGGCGACCCCCTTAGTCTTAGTTTGGCTCGATTCTAAAAGTGAAATAGCCATCATAGTATCTTTTTAGACGACCAAAGTTTATTTTTTACCTAGATCTAGATCTATAACATCATTTTTTTCTTGGTTTTTGTCAATTTGATCATCCACACCGATAGACAGTATTCAGAAATTAAGAAAAAAAGGTCTTCAAGTTTCACACTGGGTGAGAATAGCCAACGCTGGCAAGTCTCACTCGGGGTGAGAGGTCGATCGTATTTTTATCGGCCTATTTTTATTCTCACCCGGGGTGAGAATAGCCACTTCCTTTGCTAAAAGCTAGACCTCTACTTGCAAATAAAACCTTACTAACTCTTTACCACTCATTGTTTCTGCCTTATTTCAAAATTCATTTCGTCACATATAATTATATAAAAGAAAGTGGCTATTCTCACCCGCCCGGAAGTTCTCGCAAGATCAACTCCTCCCCTCTTCTTTCTCTCTCTGTCTCTTTCTGAATACTGTCTATCGGTGTGGACGATCAAATTGACCAAAACAAAGTTAAAAAATGATGTTAAAACACAAAAGTAAATTAATTTGGTTGTCTAAAAAGATGCTACGGCTATTTAACTTTTCGAATCGAGCCGAACTACGCGGGTCGCCATTTTGTTTTGCCCGGAAATTCTCGCGCTACTCCTCTCTCTCTTTCTCTCTCTCTCTCCACTGCCCACAGACAAAATTGTACGCTTTTAGTAGGCTACAGTTGTAATGGAACGTTTGTTCATGGCACAGAATTCTACAATTTTTTCTCACAGTGTAGAATTCTGTGGTTTAGGGTGAACGCAAAATTTGGTGAACGCGCACCGGGTGAGAATAGCCACAAGACTCGCCTGAGAGGTGGCCTTATATAATTGGGATGTGATGAGATGACCGTGTGACGAAATGACCGGTTACCAACAGCATAGATCTAGTGTAGCCCTAAAAAATAATCTCACACCACCTGTGTATCCCAAAGAAAAGAAGAAAGTAAAAGACAAAAGCACATGTGCAGTAAAAATTAGAAAGGTGGTAAGCATCAATCTAACCACCGAGTCCCATGCCCCGCTCACCATTATTATCATTATCATGTATGGATTTGATTCTCGAAACTTAGTTCACATCTCAGCCTCAGTCTAAAAATAAGTTTAACTGAGAAGTGGGGACTTGAAAATCTAGATTCTAGATTACATAGGCTACAGATTTCCTTTGGTTAAGCACACATTTACAGTTTTAAAAAAATATTCTGACCATAGGTCTCAATCAAATGTCATAGTCATGTCAAAATACACTTTGAAATAGCCTGACCTGAAGGACTGGCCCAGGCTGAATTGCTGGGCTAGCAGATCTAAATAATGGATGGTGGTACCGATAAACACTGAACACATCAACAGACAAACATCAAAATTTAGACTGTCTTTGATCAAACCTAAGTTTGTGAAAACAAGGAACTGATGGATCACTCACTCTAACCCATAATAGGCTAATCATTTAGCCTAGATTCTAGGCCCAACCTAAAAAATATCTTGTCTTTCAGTTTCAGTAGCTTGCTTTTGACACACCACACACATGAAAGTAAGAAGTTCAAGCAAACCTTAGACTTAAAAGTGCACTTGCAAGTACACACTTAACATGTAGTACGCTTCTGTATACATTTCTATGGGTAGTAATAATTTAGAAAAAGGTGCACGGCAATTAGATGGAATTTTACGATTATAAACGAAAGTCCATCTTGCGTTTCGGCATCCAGCAAGTCAATGTGACAGCCATTTTTACCGCAGTCAACAAAATGGGTCACCACGAAGAGTCCCAAAATTCAAAAGCAAAATATGCTGGCTCATCTCATGAAGCGCACTAGTGTGGAATCAAATGAAATGTTAAAAACGTACAAAACCAGACCTATGGCAAACACAGAGCGTGGGGTTAAATATCACTCTGTTCCATTTGTGCATGGAGCTACCCGAGCTTGGGCCTTGCTGGCAAAATTTGCAGCCATGGCCGGAAAAGCCCTCGTTACGCGAGTACGCTAATCAGGGACAAAATCGGCACTGGGGACACAGTGCTTGAATCAAGACACAGGCGGAAATGTTTACTTGAGTCTATCCATTCGTCCTGATGAATTTACCTTTGGAGGTGTCCAAAAATCGTTATAAATTCCCATGTATCACAAACGCCATGGAACAATAACAAGTGCCGCCATTTGCAATGATTCTAAAACGCATGCGCAATAGCCAGCAGAATTCTGGGAGGGAGTGAGGCAAGAGATTGGAGGACGCGCGAGTAATGTTTTTTTAGCGGGACCAACAGAACTTAGGTGGGCAGGCCAAGCAGGACTGTCAAATGAACGCATTCTGTGTTCTGTTTTTCTTGCAAAACGGCTTTCGAATAGAAAGAAAATACGCAGTTTTACAGTGTATAATAGTTGTCTGTATTTAGCATTAAAATGTCCTAGGTTGAATACACTGAAAGGAAAAGCGAGAAAAAAAGCCAAACTTCACCGTTTCCGCTTATCTGAAGCAAACTGAATTCAAAATACAAAAAACTCTCTCTCTCTCTCTCTCTCTCTCTCTCTCTCTCTCTCTCTCTCTCTCTCACACACACACACACACACTCTCACTCTCTCACTCACTCTTTCTCGTTCGCTCGCTCCCTCTTTCTTGCTCTCTGTCTCTCTATATCTCTCCTTCTACCTCACTCGCTCTTTCCCCCTCCTATCCCTCCGGCTCCTATTTCTTTAACAGATCTAGGCCTATACCGTTTACGTGTGTATTCGTGTGTGTTTCTGTGTGTTTATTTAACGCATGTGTGTGTGTGTGTCAATGTGCATTCCAATAACCAACTGTATTTTCCCATTTATCGCTGTATAATAGTTGTAAAACGCATCGAGGGAACACTGTATAGCATGGATATGCGCCATATGAATACAGCATATTGTTATCATTTCGTAGGCTGACGAAACTTGTCAAAATTTTCACGCAGTGTGGCACCCCCCCCCCCCCCAAAAAAAAAATCAAAACAAAAAAAAACCCAATCTCACACGCCCACAAGCATGCGTTTGTTTTGTTCAAAGTATATTCTCGCAATCTTGTTGTTAACAGCGCACACATGTATTGGTTGGCGTGCCCACCACCCCCCGTCCATTTATCTGTCTTCTTTAAGTTAAGTTTTAGTAGAAGTTTTACGACGCTCGCAACTGCATAAAGTCATATGAGCACCAAGGAGTGGATGTCAACAGACGAAGTCCTTACGGAATCAGGCTTACTCTGCTCACCTCTCTAGCTTCAACAGCACAAAGTCTGCACCCCGGAAATAGCGGGTCACAAGAGTGTGATAAACCTACAAAAGAAGTAGAGGAAAATGGCGATAGTAAGGATTAGGAAAGAGAAAGCATTAGTTCCCTGTTGCAGTTCAGGCACAGTTATGAGCATGACATTGATGAATCAGCCCATTTACAATTCTACTGTGCATAAGAACATGGTTAATGCCCCCCCCCCCCCCCCCCCCTTTGGGATTGGCCTAAAGACACTTCAGTCAGTAGCACCGCCCCGGGGTGGATCATCCCATCTTTCTCTCTCTCTCTCTCTCTCTCTCTCTCTCTCTCTCTCTCTCTCTCTCTCTCTCTCTCTCTCTGGTGTACTACACTAGTGGACGTTGGGAGCTGTTTGCACCCTGCCCCCCTTTCTCCATGTTTCTAAAAAAAAAAACCACAACCACATCATAATCTGCTAAGAATATCATGCATGTGTACATCATTCCAAGACACACATGCTCAGGAACTTATAATACAAACTTACATAATTTTTTCAAGCAAGTACAACAGTCCGGGTCACCTTTGTCGACTTACCAAGAACAGATACATATTGTACACCGCCCGTACATTTCTTTAGACCATATTGTACATAATGCGTCAAAAATGTATTTCCTGATTCACATTCTAGCAACACTTTTGAAGGAATTACGATACAATCGACAATCATATAAATACAGACCTGGCGCTTGGACATTATGGAGTCACTGGATTAAGATTCTCTGTATGACTAGAAGAAACAGATTATTTTAATTGTGTACATGTGTATGGACTTGTGTTGTTGTTGTTTTTGGTGGGGGGGGGGGGGGTAGGGGGGGGGAGTGTTTTTTCTTTTTTTTTGCTTATTAGTAATTGCTATTATTTTTCCGTTTGTTGGTCTGAACGCTTAGCTTCCCCTCGAAGCTAGAGTAACACAGATTAATGTCTGTGATATGTGTACCGAAAATTAAAACTTGAAAGGAACAAAACTTTTTTTTTTTAATCGCTTTACAATGGCTAAGGAGGTGCTGAAAATAGTGACTTGACACGAAACTGTAATTAGCCTATATATCTTGGAATTAGGCATCATTCATTCACAGATTCATTTATCTATTCCTAAATTCTGTCTTCAAAGTATCTATTTATAAATTTGTTAGTTGATAAATGGTTTGTTTTATAGGCTACTTGTTTCTTTGACCGACTAATGAAGTTTGTTTATATCGAGCGAGACACGTTTTATGAACTAGGAATAGTAGAAGCACTTGGATAGCACGCACCATATTTGTGTAGCGGTTCTTTGAAACAATCTTTATCCGACAGCGAACAGTTGCTCTTTTTTTTCCTCGAGGCTTTAACACTTGAAGCATTTATATACGATCTAACAAAGAAATAAACAAAAAGTACCTTCGATTTCTCGTCTTTTCTTTTCCTTTCTTAAGAAAAGTTTGATTTTTGTTTGAATGGTCGTATTTATGAATCTATATATGTGCCACGATGCGGTGGAATCAGGCACTCGTCAATATTTGAGCAAATGGGGTTATTGGTATCATCTTAAAGCCTCTTCACTTGCCTTCCTTTGGTGAAAAAAATATCAATCTATCTTGAATAGAAGTCGAAATATTTTTGGTTGAAGGAGCTCGTCAGGGTCGCCTGGTTTCAGGGTTAAATTAGCGAGAAAATGGCTGCCAATGTTTGGTAACTTCCATAGCCTTTGAGTGCTTTGAAATTGACCACATTTTGTGTGCCTTTAATTTACGTTTTCCGTAAAATTCACATGGGAATGTGTTTTCTTATGGACATAAAAGGCGTTGAGCCAAAAAATAAAAATTCGAAAAAAAAATCCAAACTGGTGGGAAAATGCCCGTTTCTTCGATTCCATTCATTTGACGAGCGCTTGATTTCACCACGGTGCTTCACATATGTTTGTGTCTGTTTATTTGTCTATGTGGAAGCGTTCTGTTTGCGCTAGAATAAATATCTCTAAACCTGTTTTAAACGGTTGAGATTGAGTCTCTAATAAAGTTTAAATCAACGTACCTGAAAGTTTAGTGCGCTAAAACAGTTGTTATTCTCTCTCTTTTTTTTGTAGGCTAGGCCTACTTTTACGAACGTACTGGGTGAGAGATGTTGAACATTAGACCTAAATGCTATTGATCTAATGAAGGTACTAAATTAAAAGCAAGCCCATCACGTTCCCACAATTGTGATAATGAATGCGGTAATCGTTGTAGGCGTCCAGTCTCAGCAGATAGGAGCCAGAGCTCTGTTCGGCTGGACATAGATGTTTGTTTGTGAGAGTAAAGAGAAGTACATCGACACAATAAAGTCCATTTAGTGCTGGGAAAAGGTAAAACAGACAGATACAACCGAGGATAAGTAAGTAAATAGGACCAGAGAGGATGAAGCACTTTATACTCTCTGGCAGGACCTACCGCAGTGGCGTCCTCCAACCACCCGCCTGGACAAAGAAATAGCTAAGATATATTCAGAATGCTCTCTACTCTCTCTCTCTCTCTCTCTCTCTCTCTCTCTCTCTCTCTCTCTCTCTCACACACACACACACACTCTCTATGTCTCTCTCATCCTCTCCGTCTTTCGCTCTCTCTCTCACACACACACTCTCTCTTTTTATCTTTATGTCTCTCTCACACAGACACACACACACACACACAGTCACAAGCATGATGGAATTACTTTTACCATTACAGGTAGGTCAAGATCCGTAACTAAAAAGCCCCCTGGTTCTAATTCTATTTAGAAGTAAAGCTCAGAAGAAGATCATAGCAATTTATATTTTTGAAGATTAGGGCTCAATAATATTAACCCTCGAACTCAGAGACCTGAAACCAGTGAGATAGCCGAAACCAGTAGCTGGCCACGTATTGAACTGAACCACGAGGGGTCATGAAAACTGCGCAATCGCTTTATAATTGCCGCCAGGTGGCGCGTTTTAGAGGTCACAGAACACCATGGACCACGTAATAATAAGGGTTGCCCTCACCGTGCGGCTTCGCGGAAACCTGTTTACACCAGGATGACGTCAGGAAAGCTCGTGGAGACCCGAATAAAAAGAATGCTCAATGCTGGCCGGGACTGCCACTGACTGAGGTGCTGATTTGCAGATTCCCTAACCAAAGACGACTGCATAAAGACTTCATTAGCAACAATGAGTGGTGGTCGGCCAAAACGTAAGGCGGTGACAGACACAGAAACTAAAGCGAAGAAAGCTCGTGGAGAAACGGAGCTTGGTGATGGGCTCGTGTGGAGAGATATTGGTGATGGTAAAGGCATAGGTGTCTCGGGGGCGTGTCCACTGATGGCTCTCATATCAGACTGTCTCGAGGGAAGGACAAAAATCGCCGGTTTTGACATTGACTTCACCGTCATTAAAACGGCAAGTGGACGGAAATTTGCCATAGGTAGGCATACTTGTTGTATTGTCTAGTTTTTGAACTCTGGAGGAAGACGTATTTCAAACTCTACAATTCACATTGCACTAATCTGATTTACCCCCCCCCTCCCTCCTCTACCCGTGGTAAAAAAGTCTTGATGTAGGTCTAGGCTAGATCTAGATCTAGATCTAGATCTAGATCTAGATCTAGATTCTACTCACTTTCAGATTGCGATAAACAAAATAAATCTGTGATTTGTCCAAGCGAGACGATTGATTGATATACAATATTTCGTGTTGCAAGGGTCAAATCAGGAAGAAAAATGGGGTCGCGACTAGATCTAGATCTAGATCTAGACCTAGATCTAGATTCTAGATCTTATAGTTATAATAGGCTTAGCCTAGTTTTAGTATAGGCCTGCAATCCTATCATCTTTGATAATGGTAAACTCGGGTTTGATTACGTGATTTATTGTGGTCTGAAAAGTGTTGCAGTTACAGTTATTAGTGGTAGCCACGGACAAAATCAATGACTGGATCAACTGAACATGAAGGGTAGGACAGCGTGCTCTCGTCAGGGGATAGATTTATGCCAATTTGAGATAGATCGCTAGAGATCTGTTCGTTTATTGCAAGGCCATATATAGATCTAGATCTAGCTACCTGTAGCCTAATAGCCTATTTACAATGCAATGTCTAAAAAAAAAATGTTCCAATAACCAGAAGTGTCTAGATCTATATCCTGATCTGTACCAATCTAGTTTAGCACCACTTAAACCTAGCTTGTCCGATCAGTATATCAACCAGTATATCAACGTCAGCACGTGGCTCTGTTTGTAAATGTATTACATTCCAGCATCAAACTGTCATTTAGATTCTAGATCTAGGAGGTTGGCTACTTTCTCAAAGTGTACGCATTCCAGCAGAAGACAGGAGGCTACCAGCAGTAGGCCCACTCGATTTTAAAACGAATATATCCCAATGTGGGAGTTGAACAGTTGCTTTACCTGCATTAATCATAACTATGGGTCATTGGCGGGTGCTCTGGTGTGGATTAATACTCCTTCTTTCCTATCTAACATCTATCATCCTGATCTCCCCTCCTTCTTTTTTGTGTCTGTTGCTCTCTTGTACACCTCTAATCTTTGGCACTTGAATTTATGACCTATTGTGTTGCAAGTGCTGTAAAACTCGTACTAAAACTAAAGATCTTAACTGTTACACGAATTGATAATTAATTAGAGATAAAGACTAGAAATTACTCTTGTTTAGGCTTAATTTCAAGACTAGATCTAGGCTAATCATTTCATTCACAAGGTCAATGATAAAAAACTTGGACTTTTGAGATTGACAAAACTTTTAATATTAATGCCTAGTCTTAGAATCAAACAAACCATACAGGAAAAAAAAAAGATAATACATGTGTGGGCTACTTATGGAAATATTTTACCATTAATTTTTGTTGTACTCTGTCATCAGTTTTGCATGTGCTTTTCCTATTTAGCTCAGGCTTGTTGGATGTTGGCCTACAAATACTGCTTTTTTAATTATTAATTTCTTTTTACTCATGTAAATGCACCTTGTTTCTCACTTAATCAGGATCAAACGATTGGGAATTTTGGGATGAAAAAGTCCCAGAGAAGCTGAGAGAACTGCATAAAGATGGCTACAGAGTTGTGTTCTTCACTAATCAAGCTGGTATTGAAAAAGGCAAAGTGACGCCCCAAAGCTTCAGAGACAAAGCTGAAGCTATCATCAAAGAGTTGGAGATTCCTGTTTTGGTGAGTTCTTAATGGAACTGTTTTCCTTGAATGATTGATTGAGCAGCACGATATTCTGATATCATTCATAAATTAACTGATGAAGGTGAGAAAATAATTCTTTTGTCCATGTTACTCTTATTTCTGAGGTGCTATTGCATGTGGACTTTTATAATGTAAAGATTTTTGGTATATTGCCTTTAGTTTGAGAGAAGTTGGTATTGTATGGAGATTTCTGTGGGGAAGGGGAATAATCCAAAGAGTGGTTTGCTGAAGTGCGACACAGTTATGTCCCCTGAACCGATTTCATAGTAATGTCACAGACCTAGCAATGGTCTCTGGTGAAATGGTGAAATTCATAAAATATAAATCAGAAGACCAAAGGCAGCCTAATGTGAAAACTCATCACTCTCCTATTTATTTATCTTCCAAAATTGTTTTTCTTTAAGAATTAATCTTTCACAATAAACAATCAACTGGATCTCCTGTGGTGTTGTTTCCAGGTATTTGCAAGCACAGGCACTTCACAGTACAGAAAGCCAAGTTCTTGCATGTGGGACCATTTTGTTGAGAATTTCAACAATGGTGTTGAGGTAAGGAAAGGATGTTATGAAAATTAATGTGTCATTTATTTATTTAGTCAAGAAGGTTTTATTCAAAATGTGAAATTTCACAGTAGTCGATGCAGTTGCTTCAAATTTTTTTTGGTGTTCAAAACTAATAAAAAATAATATTACACAACTTTAGAGAGTCAAATTAATTCTGAATGTTTGTTTTTTTGGAAGAACATTATTCTCTGGGTGACTGCTGCTTTTGGTTTCTATAGGTACATCTGTTCACTGTTTATAATAAACATGGGATGTGTTTGTAACATTTAGAATAAAAATTTTTTAATGTTCCTAAATTATTCACAGTTCCTTATCCTTTGTTAAATTCAATATTTCTCAGGTTGACAAGAAAAAGTCAATTTATGTGGGGGATGCAGCAGGCCGTGCGAAAGAATGGGCTCCAGGCAAACCGAAGGATTTTTCCTGCAGTGACCGCATGTTTGCAGCCAATATTGGAGTCAGTAAGTGTTAAACACATTTTTGTCTGTAAAATGTGGGGTTTTTTTTTACTTGGTGGGCAGCAGCAAGGATGCTTGTGAAGGCACTTCTAGTGAATCACAGTTGTACCATGCTTTAATTCCTCTGCCTCTTTCTTTCACCCTGATATTGGGTTTAGGTTGCCGAAAAGGACTTTCCACCTTTCTCTCTTCTGGGAGATCTTCTTTATCTCTAGCCAGCTGTGCCCCATATGCCCGTGATATGCCTCCAGATTTTGTTCCCTGTTGGATCTCAGCATTCCTCTTTACCTCTTTCCTAAGGGTTTCCATCCTAGGCCTTGTCTTCTCACGTTGTTGACTGTACCATGCTTGCTGTGTCATAGCTAATGTTTTATTTTTGTCTGTTTATAAAAAAAATGTTACTTGAATAATTTTTTGATGACTCAAAGTTTGTCTCTGAAGTTAATTGCGTTTCAAGCCCTTTCTGTGAAGGATGTGTATCTTACATTGTCGCTCATAATAAGAGGTTCTAATTTTATGAGAAGTAAAAAATAGAGAGAAAGAATAAGTTTCTTTTGTTATTGTTCTTTTAGAAAATATATAAACAAAATCCAACTTAATATTTCTCTTTATTATGATGTCTTAATATATGAGTTTCCTTATCTTTATTATCAGTTGATATATTTTAAAAATTCATCACTATTTGCAGAATTTTCGACTCCAGAGGAGTTTTTTTACAATGAAGCAGCGGCCAAATTCAGCTGGGGTTCACTTGATCCCGATGCTTTCCTTGCCAAGAATCCTGCCATCACAAAGGCTAATGACAAGTCATCGTTTGCCTCCAAAGTAAGAAAATGACATTGGGCAGAGTTAGAGAAGTTACTTTCAATGGATAGGTTGACTGTCTTTAAATCTTTGTTTGTGAGAAGTTTACATCTATACAATTACTTGTCTGGGGTTACTGCATTTGGTTTAAAACCTTTTTGTACATGTACCTTGTACAAAATTAGTGGTTATGAAACATACCAGATGATACCGGTACTTGTATCTTCTTTTTTGATAGCTATGAACACTTGTGTTTTTTAATTGCAGACAGTAGAAGAAAGCCCCACTGTGATCTTAAAGGAGATCTTTTGTAGTAGTAGCAGAAAAATAAAACACCCACCTTCTTTGAATGGGTTTATCTATCTTATGTATTTTTACTTGTCGTGAGCTGGCATGAAAAATGTCAGTTGTTACAGTTTTAAAAACCCCCAATTATTATGTAAGAAAGTTGTACTGTAGAATGAATGCATTTGCATTATCTTGGGTATTATATAGAATAAATATCAATCTTGGAAAGCTTTGTACTAAAACTTCATATAAAAATAAATATCAATCTTGGAAAGCTTTGTACTAAAACTGAAATGATTTTATTTTGCTTGATTTAATTTTAAACAGGCTCAAGAACTTGTTATGTTGGTGGGGCCTCCTGCTTCAGGAAAGAGCACATTTCGTCAGAGATATTTGGAACCTCATGGCTACGTCGCTGTCAACAGAGACACACTTGGTACTGCTGAAAAATGCTTAAAGGTGAATTTGGCAATTTTCATTTTCTGTTAGTTTACCTTTTGATAATAACCAGAAAGAAAAGAAATGTTCAGACTCGTTTGCTTTCCCTAAATGGCAAATTTTACTTTTGTATCGGCTCTGTCTTTTTAATTTACTGTTACAAACAAACACAGTTTAATACACACTAATATGGATTTCAAAAATGTTTTTATCTGTAAATTTTGCTCATGAATCAGTCAGTTCTTTACAGCTCACTGTGCATCACATTGGGCTCTTTTTTTTTCAGACAATTATTTAAAAAGTTTTTACTTTTAGTTAGGGTTTTACAGGCCTAGCACTAGCAACACAATAAAGTCATATAATTGTTGAAGATAGAGGTGTTACAAGAGAGTAATAAACACAAAAAAGGAGAAAGAACGATAAGGTCAATAGATGTTTGATAGAAAAGAAGGAGCAAACCACACCAGAGCACCCGCCAACTGCCCACAGAGAAATTTTGCATGACTCTTCAGTTCATCTTTTAGTCAACATCTCTCTGCCTCTTTTACTGTAGGCCTAGTGGGTATAGACCCTCAGGGTTATACACAGTGGAGAAAGTTGTGACAAGTGTGAGTGTACAGATGGTGAGATGGAGTCTCTTGGGTAAAAGGGATAGAGGAAGATGAAGAATGATATGGAGGAGAGAGGTTGAGAGAGATTTGAAAAAACCCCCAAAACTGAACAAAACTTGGCCACAAGTGGAGGAAGGTGAACTGGACAGAGATCATAAGAGAGGAATTGTTCATCATCAACACTTTTCAGTAATTTTAAGAAGTTGAAATTAAAAGTCAAAGCAAAGAGAATAAGAATATTATCCACTCTGGATGTTATATTTACAGCGGCTGAATTTATTTTCCATGAACTATTCTTTTGAAAATTTTGAATATTTCTTTCATCTGTTTCAATTTCAGGTAGCTAAAGAAGCAATTTCATCTGGCAAAAGTGTCGTTGTAGACAACACAAATCCGTCAGCTTCAGCGAGAGCACCATTCATCAAGTTGGCTAAGGACAAAGGTAGGAATTGTTAGAAATAAAAGAATTACTGTTTGGGTGACAAAACACTACTTACCTAGATTTTATGTGTGTGCTGTTTGGACATGATTTGAAAACTAGTTTACCATTCCTCTAAAAAAAAAAATTACCCTAACAAAACAAAACAAATTGAACCCTTTGGCCTGAAACACTGAGGTTATAGGCCTACATGACCTTTGTTGTTCTTGGGTTTCTGTTTTTGTCGGTGTACTTTTGTTTTATTTTTATTATCCCTTTTTGTTTTATTTTGTATGTGTTTTCTCTAATCAATATTTGGAAAAAAATGAAGTGAAAGGGACAGTGAAATTATGAAAAAGAACAACTGTTTATTTGCTTTTTCAAAGAAGCTACTATTCTGTAACCTTGAAGCTCTAAATCCAAACAGTATAGTCACTGCCATATTGAAAATAAAAATTGATCATTGGTTGAAAGCAGCTGTGTGTTTGTGATTAGAAGAATAAATAATTCCCATAGATAATCTAAAAGATTAAATTGAAACTTTATCATATGACACCCCCTTCTATTTTAGTTTAGTTTTAGTAAGAGTTTTACGGCACTTGCAACACGATAAATTCATATAAGTGCCGAAAATTAGAAGTGTTACGAGAGAGTAACAAACACAAAAAAGAAGGAGGGGAGATATGAAAATAGATTTTTTTATAGGAAAGAAGGAGCAAACCACACCAGAGCCCCCGCCAACCACCTTTCTATTTATATCACCTGTAAATAGATTTACTCTCAAAGACATCAACTAATCCAAAACTCAATATAGGGTTTAACTCTTTGAGCCCTTGCCACTGGTACACTGGTGATGTGTAAAACTGCCCGTATGCCTTGCCACGGGTACAGCAGTGAGCGAGACCCCGTCCCCAACCCAGCCCGCCTGAGCCAAAATATGCACGGACAATAGCGTTTATAAACAGGACATAACTGATTATTTTTAAAGATATTTCTGAATTAGATGCTGGTAATGACAAGGACTACCCTGAGGGGGATGTGGAATGTGATTTTGATGATCATATGAATGTTAGTAACATATCGCTCAGGAGCTCAGGAGCTTAGGCAGAGGGGCACGGTGGCTTCAGGAGGCAAAGGGTGAAACTTAAAGACAATTTCTTGACCTTCTGTTCAGGTATTCCCTGTCGGTGTTTCTGGCTGCAAACTCCGCTGGATCTGGCCCACCACTTGAACCTGTTCAGGCAGAATCAGACAGAGGGAAAATGTCGCAGAGTTCCTGATGTTGGTTACAACGTGTTCAAAAAGAATTTTGAAGAACCAAAATCTACAGAAGGCTTCTCTGTGACGAAAGTTGATTTCAAACCTCGTTTTGATAGCATAACAGATGAGCGTCTTTTTAAACAGTGGACTGTGTAGATTTTTATGAACCATGTAGTATACTTATATGGCTTGAGTTTACTTCAAAAGTTGCCAGTCTGGTAACAGAAAATTATTGTTTTAAATGAATGAAGACACTTGCTGATTATGACTTTTGATTGTGTTCAGTTTTAAATTGGAATTTGTATTTTATCCAATTGAACATTCCATTATATGCTGATATTTATTGTGCTTGCCTGCTCAACAAATTTATTTATTAATGTTGGTGCAAACATTTTAAAACTTCATGTCAAGTTGCTGATACGCAGATAATTACTTAACAAACTAGTTTGTTCTTGTAATGATGTGATGACAGCTCATTGATCCTTTTTGTATACAGTTATTTTAGTTAATGTGCTGTCAAGTTAGTGCAATTCTTCGATTATTTTCAGTTTTTATTTTTTAAACATGATTTTTACACATCTTCACATTATTTATTGTGCCATCTTTGTTTTGTTTTTTAAAGGAACATAATTTATATGCTCAGATTGGTGTTACATGTTAAATCTTTTTGACAGTAGTATTAAACTTTGTTTGTGAAGAGATAAAAATGTTTTGATAGCATATTTTATCATGCACTCATCGAAGTGACTGCTTCTGAAATAATGAATACAAAACCCCTGAATAACAATGAATAAAGTAAGTGACAAGTGAGATGACAAAGTGACCGGGGTTCTTTGTGTGAGAATGGAACTCCAATCTTGCTTGGAGCACAGAACTCTGCTGCTGAACCCTGAAGTTGTAGTTACTTCTTGAAACAACTTTTATATAAGCTCTATGGCAAGCTTTATTGGTTAATGTAAGAGCGGATGAAAAAATAAAAGTGAGTAAGTAGCCTGAAATGTATTTGAAGATGAACTGTGATTGCAGGCATATTTGCCATTTCTTGTTACATGTATGCATACATTTATTTGTATTCCTGTGATATGAACCTGTGAAAACATTTGTGAAAATTTTAAGAAAAAGAATGAATCGAAATATCTTGCCACTACCTTAAAGATGATACAAAACTTTATTTGAAATCTTGTTACTCAAAGTTTTTATATGACAGTGAGTGTGCTGCGTACTTATTAGTCCAAGTCTAAATGAACACTATTGCTTTTCATGCTTGTTGCTACTCATGTTTTCTTGCGTTGTAAGTTAAACATTTATATATATATATATACAAGCTGTAAATCTCTCCAAAATCCGTCCTGTTGTCAGTGTGAGTTGACAGCTAAGTTTAAGGGCAAACATTGCTGGGTGCTGTTGGACATTTTTAGGTCTTTTAATCAGACTCTCCCCCCCGCGGCAGTGCCTCTGACTAGTGTCTTTAGGCCATTCCCAAAGGGGGGACATTTCTCGTTCAAGCACAGTAGAATTGTAAATAGGCTGATTCATCATGTCACGCTCATAATTGTGCCTGATCTGCAGCAGGGAACTGTTGCTTTTTCTTTCCTCATCCTTAATATTTTCATTTTCCTCTACTTCTTTTGTATGTTTGTCACACTCTTGTGACCTGGTATTTCCGGGGTGCCTTGATAGTCAAAGCAGACCTTGTGCTGTTGAAGCTAGAGAGGTGTGCAGAGTAAGTCTGATTCCCTGTAAGGACTTCTCTGTTGACATACACCCCTTGGCGCTCATAAGACCTTATGCAGTTGCGAGCGCAGTAAAAAGCTCTACTAAAACTAAACTAATCAGAGTCTGATTGTCTCAACAGCTTTTGAGGAAATTGAAAACTGAGAGCTTATAGTGGTTTGTGAGAGTGGTGTGGATGCTTTGTTTTTCCTTGAACAAGGTCCAGCTAGTGACAAGTGATACAGTGAACAAATCTATGGAAAACAGAGTTGTGTCAGAGTGATTGGGAAATATAATTTCACTTCAATTGATCCTATCTAGATTATTAAGGAGGCGGGCTGCTTTAAAGGGCGAATGAAGGCCGAGGGGAAGACATTTGATGTAATAACTTCCCTACACAGGAATCAAATTCCCATCTTCTGTGTGTTATAGCAGAATCAAACTATTGCACCACAGAACCTGGTGCCTTGTTTACTGCTTGCTGTAAGTTTATATCAAAGCCAGCTGTCACCAAAACAAGGAAATTTCTTTAGTTATAGCTACAGTCTCAGAGTATACTTTCTATTTACAGTACAGGTCATTTTGACAGTATTTTTTTGGGGGGAACGTGTGTTGTCCTTTGTTGAGCATCAATCATGCACCTACTATCTATAACACTCTTAGCTCCCTAACTGTCAAGGCATTATTTTTATTTCTATTTGCCTGTTTGACACCTTGAGTGCTTGAACCTCTGTTATAGAAAGAGAAAAAGTTCTTTCTGTTTGGCATGGGAGAGAAGAATACAAAGTGAGGTTATACAAAAATGGTGGCAGGGACAGATGAGTGATATTTCTATTTATCAGAAAAGTTAATTATCTGTATGTTTTAAAAAATGTGTGAATAATTAATATTTATATTAATTTCTTGAACTCACTCTACGGCTCATTTAACTCATCATTAAGCAGAGAGTGCTGTAGACATTCTGTTGCTATGATATATTGATAAGTTTATGTTTTGAATTTCGATGTGTGAAAACTTTTAGGAAGTTTAAGAATATGTACTGCAGCCCTTGAAAGTAAATGACAAAATAATTCTTATTTTGTCTGAATGCATTGTTTTGAAAACCCATAGTCTATAATCTAATTATGATATACCTGTCACAATTTGACATGTATGTATGAGAGGACAGCTATATATATAAAATACCCTTACTTTTCTTCACTGTTAGCTTGATCTATTCCACATGAGCTTTTTTTTACTTCTCCAATACCTTTTTTTTCTTTTCTTCTGTAGCATAGACACAGTAACAACAATTGTTACACAAATACATTTGATTTCAGAAAGATATACATTAAATATGTTGTGTGTGCTTCTATATATGTAGGCTTGTTGTGACCCAAGCATCATGTTTTTGTCCTAGGGCAACACTTTTCAGAGACTAAGTTTTTTAGCTTACTGACATGGCCATGGCCGCTTTTCAAGTGTGAAATTTTTATACACATGTACTTTTATATACTTCGATACATTCCTTTATTAAATTTTCACTATTGTGATATAATCTGTACTCTCTGCGTTCCTTATGTTTATTGTAGTCTGTTGTGCTACCTTTAAATCAGCCAAGGAGTTAACTATGAATGTGTTGTGCTGACAAACTCTCCATTAGAGCTGGAGTCTGCTCGATTAATCGAAGGCTTGCGAGCAGCGGACGGCTTGCGCTAGATGCTTGCGAGCAGCGGGCGGCTTGCGCTAGAGGCTTGCGAGCAGGCTTTGCCTCCCGCTCACTACCTGGGGGGAACTTCCGGTGAGTTGTGACTCGCGGACAGTGTTGCTGTACTGTGTCGTGACATCGCAAACTCTCATGGCTGTGGGCTCAGTACATATTACAAAAGATTCTGGTTATTTGCGTTGAGAGGCTTGCACCAAAAGTGCAAGATTGTTTTGTTTTTTCAGTCGGTTGTAAAAAATAAAAAGCTCCATTCAATGCACTTAAAAATTAATAATGGATCGGCTATTCTTACGATGCAAAGACCTGTTTGTTTATTAATGTGCATGAGCCAAGAGCTTCGTCGTCACACGCAAAAGACCTCAGTTCGATTCCCGTATGGGGAGAAATTTTTACTGAGAACCTCCGTCTTTCTTCTGGGGTGTTGTTCCCTCTCAGCCGAGGTTGGCTCACGACATTGGGTTGAAGTAGGCCTAGCCCGTCTCCTAAATGTTTTGCATTATGTCACTGTGAGTGTAAAACATCTACAAAATAGGTTACATACATAAAACGATGCAAAAGCCAATCACAACGACCCCTGGAGTTTTCCATTCCAGGGTAATCTAAGTCTACTTATTCTTATTACTACCAGAAACCTATCTATTACTACAATACCACGCTCCCTCTCACTTATCCACTCGCTAAGCTGATCAATGGCGGGAAGTTAGAAATAACTTCGGCTCTTTACGTCTCGCTCCAAAACAAGCACAGCCTCTCCCTTCCTCCACAGTTCAGAGTTCACACTGCGAGCAGTCTTGCTGCTCGCTGCTGTAGCAAATCAGCCGAGTGGCTTGCCAGGTTGCTAGCTGGTCCTGGGAGCCAAAGCAAAAAATGGGATCCGAGAGACTTGCCAAACTTCGAGCAAGTCACTGGCACAAAGCAAGACAATGGGAATCATGGGACTTGCTGAGCTGCGAGCGACATTTGAGACTTGACGGGCGTCCGTTGCTAGCCTTCAATTAATTGAGCAGACTACAGCGTCACGTAGTGACACTGTGAGCGGGGTCTCTCTCTCTCCCCCATCTCTCTTTTTCTGACGTAAGTGGCTTCGTGGATTGCAAGCAAGGTGGGGAGGATGAGGGGGTCTGACAAGAGTGGCTTCGCGGATTGCTAGTTGCTGTGGACTTGAAACTTAGGCAAGACGGCTAGACTCAACTTATCATGCTGGTGATTTGATTTGATGATTTGACCTAGTGATTTAAGGCTTGTGACTTGAATTAGGGGCTTGCGAGCACAAGCGGGTCTGCTACCGGGGTACAGCTCTACTCTCCATTATTTTTTCCATTCTCATTTGTCACAACTGATACTTGTGACGACATAGTTTGGTGTTTACTTGACTTTTTTTCTAGGTAAGTGTTTTTTGGCGCTCGCAACTGCATAAGGTCATATGAGCTCACTGGACACATTAAATCTTTTCAGTTGGTAGGAAATTTTGAACTTTGCCCGGGTGGCGGCCGAAGTCTACTCTTATCAATTTTAGACAATCAAGAGGTCTTTAATGTGCGCAACTTGCACCTCCGAAATTTTTCGCCCTTGTCTGAGAAGGCTAGGTGTAGATCAGTAAGAAGGAGCCAAGGAGTAGCAGTAGAAAGCCTGCAGAAAGAGTCAGGAGTTCAGAGGAGGGGGGAAAGGAGGTGAGGGGGTGGGGGCAGAAAGTGGAGACGAAAGTAGACAATAGAACCTTGTTAGAGAGCAGGAAAGGAGCTGAAAGGAGACAATTTTAGAGAAGAAAATTTTTTCTTCACTATCCAGATTCGAACCTGGGACCTTAGAATGAGAGGCAAATACCTTAACCTCCAGACCATGAGAGCCCCCTTACTTGATTATAAGACAAAACATGAAGGTTCAAACCTGAAATGAGGAAGAACCCTTGACAGTTGATTACTCTTTACTCTGTCCTGACAGGGAAATAAGTGTTAGGCCTTCGAAATGATCCGTTTATTGTGTCCAAAAAAGATGGATGCTGGGACGCTACATTAGAGACTTATGTAAAAAAGTTCTTGTCATTTCTTTTGTACCAATGGCAGTATCAAATGAAAGGGAAAGAGAACATAAAAAAAGAAGTGCACTTGAGCAAAAAGTACAAAACTCTTTTTAATAATACTTGCAAAATTAATTTCACAGACATTCTCATATATATATGACATGATTTACAAATTGCTGATATGCATATTGTATTGAAAAACAAGCTCAACTGTACAACAAAACAAATCAGCAAAAGTTAACAACCCCCCCACCCCTCAAACACCATCAACATCTTTGTGCATACACTGAAGGTTGTACCATCAGTAAATTATAGTAGGTTATTTGGAGGGTTATTCTTTACTTGAGCTAAAACCTTCCAACGAACTCTTAGTAAAAAGAAATCCCTTTTAAATGTGATTAAAATAGATTTCAAGGATCATAGATTGTGTAACACAGAAAATGAAATCTCTTAGACATGGGCATCAGAAAAGCCAGAGAACCTTGCACATACTATAGAAAAGTGGGCAATATAATGCAACCATTCAAAATAACTGCTTACAAAATTTCAGACTGAATTTTCCGAGAAAGACCCTTGCAGGATGTTAACAGCAGAAACAAAAGCATATGCTGCTCATAGAAATGAGGGGAAGAAATAACTTTTATTGTTAAGTACTCTAAACATACATGTAATTAAAAAACAATGCAGAAGTCAGCCATTAAGTAAACAGAGAAGGTCCCTGTTTTCAATTTCAGTTACATACATCGCAGATGTTGGTGAGACACTGATTGCTAAAAGAATTTGAAACAGGAAAACCACCACATGTAAAAAGACCATAGACTGGACTGTGCAATCACTGATAATAAATATTACCGGAAGATATCAATCAATAAAAGAAAATAAACAGCTGTGACGATGCCATGGAAAAAACAAGATAACAAGCTACTTATTGGTTTTTCTTGTACTGTTCACTCTTTGAGTCACCTGTACATAGACTATACTTTAACATGAAGTTTTAAAGGCATAATTGCGCTGACAAAATGATAACCAGTTCAGCTGTTTGTCTTACAGAGTTTACTGGGACCAAAATATATGTCAGTTTAATTGAAGAACTTAAAAAAAAGTTAGAATGACATATTGTTAGTTGTGCTGTGAAAAAACTTTAAAACACAAGGTAGCAGATACAGCAGGACTTAGGAAGCTAAGTTTTGATCAAAGAAAATCAAACCTTTCATAAAGTACGAAGGACAGCAAACTATTTTAACCTGAATCCCTGGAACAAACAGGATAAAAAAAGAAGTATAATCAATTTCCACATTATGCCCCAACAATTAAAGACAAGTAAATGGGATCTTCATAACAAGAAGAAATTTTGCAGGTGCTTATTAGGAGAACAGCTTCTGATAAGATATAACAAGGGAACTGCGTTGGCCAAAGGATGCATAGCATGAGGATAATGATAATTAAGTATTTAGGGTTTACTTCAAAACACAGAAGAACACAAATACAAATGGCACTTTGGTACTCAATGGAATTCCAAATTACACTGCACACTTACATAATTGTAAACTTACTGAGTAAAATCAAACTTAAGAATCTCCAGTACAACCTCAAAAAAGTCCTTTCAAAAACTATTAGCTGGAATAAGCCTCTTTAAAAAAAAAAAGCAACAGGAGAAACAGACTTTGACCACAAGACAGAAATTGTAAACTGTCCCACTGGATGTTCTTCTGAGCAGTAAAGGGGTGCAAGTAGATAATGATAATGTCAAAAGAATGTAAAGCAATTAGTAGCAAAAAGACTAAATGAATTTCGTTCAACAGAAATGAAAATCTGAGTAAAGAAATGACACAAACTTTCTCAACAATTAAAATTAAATTTCCTATCACCAGAACCTAAAAAAGATACCAGAGGAATACTTAAGAGTAGTTTTGAGTACCATATATCCATATTCACACTTAAAAGGTTATGTATTTCAATGTATGCAAGTTCTTCACGCGGAGAGATTTGTGTGGGCAACACTATTCTCATAATTTCATATGTCACTGGATGGAAATAGAAGAGGTCACACTTCATGGTTCAAGAATTCTGATGATAGACATCCATTGCTCACATGCCATTGAGAAGAATCACAGAAATTGAGGTACAGAAAAGTGGGAAGACATGGAATAACATCAAGAGGCTAGCCCAGGATAGAGAAAGGTGGAAAGTGTTTGTTTGTGGCCTATACCCCGGTGCAGGGTGAGAAAAGCAATGGTAATGATGATGATAATACAGAGACAGCTGACAGCAAAGGCTCTCAGTTTCCAAGGATATTAGATATAATATAGAGGAAAAAAATGCAAGATAAAACCCATCACCAGGAAAAAATCCCTGAGAAAACACATATCCTCATTTCAATCACAGAAGAATAAAACGAATTCAAAATCCAATCTCAGTAGATAAATACAGTCAATGTAGAAGTTCAACTGACAATAATAGCTGCAATCTCCACATTTTAGAATAAAAGAGCTTTTCTTTATATAAAGAAATCATGAAAAATGCAAAGTGGACAAAACAAATTTTGAAAAAATCTGTTCCTAGAAAAACATTTTGGACAGATACTTTAACACATAGAGTATTCCCATCAAATTAAAGACTTCCATCTTTGAGCATAAACAGGTCCAATAGGAAGATATTTATAACATAGGGAGACAATTATAACAGTATGATATGAAAACTTTAGATCTTGTACTACCAGTTACTCAAACTTAATGTTCCTGATGACCAAATTTGAGAGAAGCATGCACTATAATTTTCCACTAGTTGAAATAATGCAACATGGTCAGACTTAGACCCCAAATCAGGTTTATTGACAAGAATAAACACCAGGAATAAAACTAACTCCTATTTCTACTATAATACACAATACAAAGAGAAAAATAAAAAAAAGATTCTGAGATATTGATATAATAAACATTCTATTATGAAAAGGAAAACATTGACTTCTGAAAACCCTGCTCCACCTACATTTCTGTTGAATCACAAAACATATAAATGAATTGATTGAAAAATGAAAATGAGACTAAGAAAAGCCTTTTCATGCTTTCACACATAAAAAAAATCAGCTAAGGTAAGTAAGATGAAAGACATACTTTTTGATGACAGCAACTTTATGACCAGTAGCCCAGTCTGGGTACACAGGTAAGATTTCAAATTTCATCAATCATTCCGAAACACGCAAAATTGCACATATATTTTTTATTCGTTAATTGTGCAACAAGGAAAATAAATTATAACAACACCAAACAGATGTATCGGAATAAGTATGTGTTGTTAATCAATGGAGAACACATCTTGTAGATGGGTGGTATCATTAATCAAACTACGAGGTCTGTCTCAGAATAAAGTTGCCCTCCTCCACAAAATCAAAAGTAAGCAACCAACAGTCACTAAATTTTGTGACATCATGAAGTTGTGTCTAAAAACATCTCGGCACCAAATAGCAAGTGCATTGGTGAACGGGTCATAGAGCTGTGACGTGTCAAGTGTGGTGTTCTTGTGTACTTTGTCCAAGGCAAATTCGAGGAAAATGGCTGAGCAAAACATTGATACAACTTTCTCACGCTACGATGTCCAAGTTGTGATCAAATTTTCAACTCTTCTCGGCAAGTCTGCAGTTGAAACTCATGGTGATATATTACACACAGTAATAGGGAATTCAATTCAAACAGTAAGGAAAAGGATCAGGGAGGATGAAGGTGGGATGTCTGATATGAAAGATGAAGCGCACACTGTACATGGGAGGCAGAAAACACAGGGAGAGGAAGGTGATGCATTGTTTTTTTCGACATGAGTGGCATCATATTGAGCTGGCTAGTCACACCTGGCGTAACTGTCAATGGTGACTACTACAGGTTGAGAAAAGCACTCAGGACCTTGGACAAACGATCACTGACCACTGACAGCTTGGTACATCGATTGGAGAAATGTCTGGAACTCGATGGTTCTTTCGTTGAAAGGGTATATGAATAAGCTTTCTGTTGATACTAAATACAAGGTGATTTATAATTTTATGTGAGGACAGCATGACAGGGAAACATTATTTTGAGACAGACCTCGTACAACTTGACTCAACTCTGATAAGTACAAAAATATTATTGGAATGCAAAATGACAGGACTTTTGCAGGACATTTCTTAAATGTTGACAGTTCTATCTGATGGCCAGAAATGTGCCCTTTGTTATGTTGAACTGAGAACAGAATTACTGTACACTTATATGAGAATATGACACCCAAATCTGAACAATTTACTTTTAATGACATTGGGTTGACCGAAAAGTACAACTTTATCAAGGCTTGGTTAATATGATATTTAGAAATGTAAACCAACACAGAAACAAGACTTTTGATTATCGTTGCTTCAAACACATTCTTACAAAAACAAGAGGAACATTAAAACATTTTGAAAATGAAGAAATTTCTGAAAGACTTCTGGTTGCCACACTCCTGTTCAGCAGTTTTTACATCAATAAGAGAAAATATTTCCAAATCTTGAGCCTGCTTGATTGATTTTTGCCAGATAACAAGAGTCACTGCTGTGAAATCGGGAATCAAATCAGCCAGCATGAAGCTAAAAGTTGTACACCGCAATAGCTCCAGAAAGTCGTGCTCCTCGAGAACTGTTTTCAGCTGTCACAAGCAGGTTAGTCTGAAAAAAAAAAATGAAATGGCAACAAGCAGGGACATGTAATAAAACATGGAGAAACTAACAGAGACTTTGCACATTACAGAAATATAGTGCCCAAATATGTCAGATAAAGTTACTTGAATTATCTAAAAGTTCTTGGACTAATGCTATTTATTTATATAAACTTGCAGGACATTTTTAAAATGTTGACAGTTCTATCTCATGGCCAGAAATGTGCCCTTTGTTATATTGAACTGAGAACAGAATTACTGTACACTTATATGATTGTGTTAGCATGATCAGTACACTGGAACTTGGATTCAACGAGAACTTTCATTCAACGAAAGGAGATGGACTCCCCGTTTTTTTTTCTTCTTTAAAATCAATAAAAATAACCTGGGTTCAACGAACACTTAAATCAGCAAGCTCGGATTCAACGAGGTCGCTTCCAGGGTGAACAGCCTCCCACAAAAGGGGCTTCGCTCATTTTTCTCCCACAAAGAATTTTATCTATTCCTCGAAACTATTCATTGCACTTGCACCGTGAACCATTATTCACTTAGCTGATTGCATGCAACCAATCAGCAGCCTTCTTCCATCAACACATGCGTTGTTGGCATGCGCATGTGTCTACTCTAGCGTGTGTTGGGCTTGGAAGGGTGGCCTGCACACGTGTGACTGTGTGCGTGTGTCCGGGGGGGGGGGCACCATTGTGCCGGGCATGGAACGTCGCAGGTACAAACGCATCAGTCTTTTTCCCCCCCGCAACTGATCATTATTACAATGATAAGCTAGTCTTGACGTAGATCTAGGTAATGAATTGTGCGCTGGTCTATGGAATCAGAAGTTGCCGTATGCTAGGCTCTACACAGCAACACAACTTTTTGGCAAGCAATCGAGATCACACAGGCATGCATTTGAACAAATCGGGTCTTTTTTTTGCACAGCTCATAATATGCAGGCATTTCAGGCACCATCATACATTACTTGCTCAGTGCCTGTAATTATCTACACAAAACCTCATGTTTGCCATAATGAACACTCGGATTCAACGAGATTTTAGGTCAGGCCCGACAACCTTGTTGAGTCCGAGTTCTACTGTACTAGCTGAGACAGATCAACCAATAGGTTTTGCTCTCATAGGTCTTCTCTGCTCAAATTTAAGCCTCTGTCTCCAACTATTTTCATCAACTTCATCCCCCTCATCCACTATTAATAAATGATATTATTATTACAGTTTCCCTTTATCTTGTTACCAAAGCTTAGTTTTAAATGAAGAGAAGCATGGCACCCAATAATGACCATTTAGTGCAGGGCCACTAAGACAGACAGACAGACAGAGAGAACAAAAGAAAAGTAAAAAAGGGGGGCTTAGCAGTGGAGCCCTCCGACCACCCACCCCTTTGCCAAATAATAATGACGGGTTTTGTTTTGACGTGAAGAGAAGCTCTGTAAGACACATGGAAAAAAACAGTTGACAGAAATCACAGAAGGAAATGAAGAAACTACAACACCCTGACATCAACTCGGACCAGAATTTCACATTCTAAACATTTGGAACATAATAATAATAATAAAAATAATTATAATAATAATAAATTGTACAGAACTTGTGCTATTACCCCCAGAAGACTGATAGCATTCTGAAATGATCTCAACTTCTTGGGAAGCATACAGTACAAAATGCCATTTTTAAAGGCGTTAAAACTCTAATATACTGACAAGATCTTTTGCTGTCTATCGCTTGGTATCCATTCACACCTGACTGAAGTCAGGAAAATTAATGTAAAGTGCCTTTCCCAAGGACACAATGTCTAGCTGAGCTGAAACTCAAATTTCCAAAGCGGCAACCTAGCAATTTTGAGTTCAGTAGCTTAACCACTAATCAACCAAATATTCCACAACATTTTGTCTTTTCTGCCTTGCAACTTCAATTTGAAATCACCTCGATCATAATAAAAAGGATTTTGAACTTAAATTAAAAGAAACAAACCAACAAACTAAAGTGCACTGCAGTCTGGAGGTCACCACCGCGCCAAGTTCCCCTGATAGCAATCTGGACACCCTGCACTTCATTTTGCAAAAATCACCAGACAATACAAAAAGGGGGAAAATTCAACAGTGATATTTTTACCTTCTTTTTCCCTTTGACGACAGCAATCTGGGAACCAAAGCGAGCCAAGTTCTCTTTGAGATTCAGCACAACAGAAGCCTGCGAACAACAGACAAAAAGAATATGATTAGGTAAACATGTAGTAACTCAAGAGTACAAAAATAGCCAGACTAAAAGTAAAAACGATAAGCTGAGACTATAAAAAAGGGGACATAAACTGTTGCACAAAGATCAGAATGCTTGACAAATCTAATGCTTCAGAGCTAAAAAAAAACCATCTGGCGAATGGCATTCTTAGATCACTGCTTGGAAAGAAATCAGTAGAGAGAGATACATGCATGGATATAACTGAAATATATAAAACTGAAGGGCATACAGTGCTTTCAATACTATCAGGCTATTCTAGTGCACTCACACAGATTGGGGCTATAAAATTAGAGACAGTAGATGAAGCATATAGCACCAGAGTATCCGACAAAATGTTTCTTCTCTTTAAGTAGATGTTTCTCATTTTAGCATTTTGACCGCATTGTTGAAATAGTTTATATCCGTAAAGTACTGCTAACAGAATTTGAAATGAAAAATTACAAACTTATGCGGTTAGAGACCTACATTGACATTATTTATTTAAAACTCCACATACCGTCACTCCAGGGCAAGGATTGACCGGAGTCAGAGGTCTGCATTCATTAGTGGCGTCTCCTACTGGAAATCTGCTGCCCCCATAGTAGATGTACACCAGGCCTTGTTCAGCTGAAAAATCAGATCATGACTCAGTCTTCATTAAAGCTTTTAAAAAAAAAAAATAGTAGAGGGTTTTACGGCGCTCGCAACTTCATAAGGTCATATGAGTGCCAAGGGGTGGGTGTCAACAGAGAAGTCTTTACAGGGAATCAGACTCAGACTGCTCACTTCTCTAGCTTCAACAGCACAAGGTCTGCTTCGACTATCAAGGCACCCCAAAATAGCAGGTCACAAGAGAGTGACAAACATACAAAAGAAGTAGAGGAAAATGACAATAGTAAGGATCAGGAAAGAAAAAGCAGCAGTTCCCTGTTGTAGATCAGGCACAGTTATGAGCGTGACATGAACCAGCCCATTTACAATTCTACTGTGCTTGAACGAGAAATGTCCCCCCTTTGAGAATGGCCTAAAGACACTACAGTCAGTGGCACTGCCCCGGGGGGATATTAAAGCTTTAAAAAGTCAAAATAATTATCAGAGCTCAAAAAAGTCGCGATCAACCATGAAACGATGCAAAAACCAGGCTTCAGTCAAAGAAAACTTGGCTACAAAATTGTCACTACAAGATGAATTTCCCCCTCTGTTTATTAAACAAATCAAGAACATTCCATCTCAAAACAAAAAAGAACCCCCCGAACATTATGAGCATGATCTCTATTGGGCAAATTTTGAATTTTATTTTCAGCGAATAGTATCCCACTTTTATTGGTTTTCAAGTTCTCTCTGCTGCATCTAATCTAACAGATGGAGGTGGCTTTCTTAAAAAACAAAAACAAAGTTGGGAATGTATACGAATTGTGGGTTGTAAACAACTAGTAAACTAAACAATGTCAAACTCACTAAAATATTGAGGATCTATCTACATGGCTTAAATTCAGAAATGAATAATAATTATAACTTTGACATAATAAATTTTGCTAATGTGTCTTAATACTCACATGATCTGAAACACTTTTTAAGACCACATAATATGATCTTTCATTGAAACTTGATCATGTATTAAATAGATGAATGACTTCATATCTTTTGGAACTTTACACCATCCTCATGATACTTGGGACAAATTAACACGTAAATGGGTGCCTATGTCTCACCTCCGACAACTTCCTCGGTTAAATCTTTGGTGCGAAGGGGGGCTCCAATGATGAGATCATCCACAAAGTCTCCATTTAGATCAGCAAACTGCATCAGCAGAAAAGAAACAAAAGGGAAGGTCATGAATTGAATTTCATTCTTCTTTTGAATAATAAAAGAAAAGAAAAGTGATCATAAAAGAAAAACACTCTGGGCCCAGAATTAACAAGAGAAATGACCTGGAAAAATTACAATCTATTTTTTTTTTTCAGAAAGAAATACTAACAATATCAATTAAATAAATGAAATATTTAAAATCTTAGCCCTCGGCTTCAGATCTCTAAACAAATGTCATCAACTGACTGAAGAACAGGAAAAGGAGCAACTGAACATACAGCAGTCACCTAGCACTCAAAACAAAAAAGCAAAAACAATAAACAAGCATATCTAACAAGTATGGTCAATCCTATTCTAACGGACATTTGTAACAGACAATCACCTGTCCTAACGACCACTTCTACCCCCCCCCCCCCGTTTGTTTTTTCTATATAGTAATGACACTGTTCAAATCACTGACTGTTCAAAATTCAATAATTTAACCCAAAATGGAAATTTTCAGGTGCTGCTCCCCTCTTTAAAGCATTAATCATCAAACAAAAATATTGATTTAAAGGGATTTCAGATAGCTTAATTATCATAGCTATTAAAAACTGGCACCTTCAGTAAGTACCTTATCTCCAATCCTTTTAAAAATAGTATTAAAAATTTCAAATTTTGGATTAGAGCCGATCACAGCAGCACAAGACAGATTTTTCAAAGGTGAATGTTTTGCAACATGCTGCAGACACATACATAATTTATAAGAAATAATATAAAGCACAAATAATCAAAGGCAAGAAATCTATAAACGAGGAGACTTACAGAAACTAAAAATAGAGAAAAAGTGTGAACTCGCCTTGACCTGGGCCCCAAAGCGCCCATAGCGTCTGTCACCATTGAAAACAGCGATGGGCTTCACAGGGTTTGACAAGTTATAAAGGTAGACTGAACCCACTTGAGGGAAGCTAAAGGGGATATATTCCACCTTAGCTTCTACAGCTGGAAGAAAAAAGACAACCCCAAAGTATTGTCAATTAGTATTAGCCAGGGCAGGGCAGGGCAAGGGAGATTTGGCGAGGGATAACACACAGATTATCTCCGCTTATCAAAATTCATGACCCCAAGTTATTTGTTGGTTTAAACCACAACATGAGACAAAAACATTCTTTAACACTTTCTCTGAGTTTTTTTGGGGGTTTTGTTTAAGTTTTTCACAATTAAGTTAATCTGAAACTGAAGGGAGGTAAAGTATGGTGTGGGATGGTATTGTATGGTATGATATAATGTGGTGTGGTGCGGAGCAGTATGGCATGGTATGACATGGCATGACATGGTATGACATGGTATGGTATGGTTTGGTATAGTGTGGTATATGTGTCGCGACATGGTGGAATCAGGCCTTCGTCAATTTTTGGGTATGTGGGGTTACTGGTATCATCTTAAAGCCTGTTCATTTGCCTTGCTTTTGGTGAAAAAAATATCCACCTATGTTGAGCAGAAGTCAAAATATTTGCAACTGAAGGAGGGCAGGGTCGCCTGGATTCAGAGGTGAGATTTGCGAGAAAATGGCCACCAAAGTTTGATAATTTCCATAGCTTGAGAGTCCTTGGAAACTGAAAATTGATATTTTTTGTGCCTCTAATCAACGTCTTTCAGTAAAATCAACACAGAAATGTGTTTTTAAATAGATATAAAAGGTGTGGTGCCCAAAAAAGAAAATTAAAATTGCCCAACAGTCAGAAAAATGCCAATTTCTCTGATATTATTATTTTGACGAGCGCCCGATTTCATCATGATGCCTCACATATAGAGGTGTGGTCTTGCATGGCACGGTGTGGTTTGGGACAGTATGAGAGTGGCATAGTTTAAGCACCCTTTTCAACACTGAAAGTAAAGAAAAAGAAGTCACTGGTCTCACATTTTCCTGTGGCTGCCACAGCCAATATTTCTGACCGCCCTCCGTAAGGACGTCCTAAGCTGACACTGGCTCCAAACATTTCAAACTCCTCAGATCCAAACAGCTTATGTTGCGGAGTGACGACATTATCTTTGGCCTTCATGAGGGTGACTTTGCCGATTGCTTGAGTATCCCTGCTGTTGTAGGTGCAGTTTGCTCTGTGGAAAGAAGTACATACAGCAGTGTCAAACAGTTGGACATACCCCCCCTGGGTGGTGCTGCTGACTGAAGTGTCTTTAGGCCATTCCCAAAGGGGGGACATTAACCTGTTCTTATGCACAGTAGAATTGTACATGTACATGGGCTGATTCATCAATGTCAATTCTCATAACTGTGCCTGAATGGAAACTGGGAACTATTGTTTTTTCTTTCCTAATCCTTACTATTGTCATTATTCCTCTACTTCTTTTGTATGTTTGTCACACTCTTGTGACCCGCTGTTTCCGGGATGCCTTGATAGTCGAAGCAGACTTTGTGCTGTTGAAGCTAGAGAGGTGAGCTGGGTAAGTCTGATTCCCTATAAGGAATCCACTGTTGACATCCACCCCATGGCGCTCTTACGACCTTATGCAGTTGCAAGCGCCGTAAAACCTCTGCTAAAACAAAAAAAAACACCAGTTGGACAATTGCAATCCAACAAACCAATACTGCGTAAAGTGTTCGCTATAGTGGAGATGTCTGTGAAATTGTAATTGTAGATGTTTTAGGCTCCCATCAACACAATTTTAATCATTTAGGAGGTCAGTTGCTTAGACTCTACCTGTCAGGGCCACCCTCTGCCCAGAGAGATACAATGTCCCAATTGACATACTCAATTAGAAACCCTCTCCAAATGGGAAATAACTAACAGCATCAGTGTACGATGGAGAAATGCCCAACAATCATTACACCACAAACGGCAGTGTGATAATGTCAAAGTAGGTTGTATGAATCATTTTAAGACATAATTTAATTAGAATGCCCTTTTCTTGCACTCCTAAACCCCTTATATTTTATGCTTTGGACCAGACGAAAGAAGGATAGTCTGACCATGAGTGTGTGCTTAAGTGTGCATGTGTTCGTGCGTGGGCATGTGTAGGTAAGGGTATGTACGAGTGTGCGGGCACATATGCATCCGTAGAACAATGCCGTTCAAATGCCGATTAATAAAATTTATCTCATTTTATCTTACGTCAATCCCATGCTCGCTACTTACAGCAGAAACAAACTCAAAATCTAATTAAAGCTAAAAAAAGACTTACAGTGAACATCTCCGATAATTTGGCTCTCCAACAGCAACCCATGTCTCATCTTTTCCAACAAATTTCTTCACGTCAAGGCTGCTGCCAAACCAGCTGTAGTTCTGTGGCAAACAAAGATATTTTCCTTACAGAAACTCGATTTGTTGGTTTTCCTACTTCTTTGACCGGCTGTTAGATATCAGGGATGCTAGGAGTAAGCTTTTCCAACAAACTAAACATCTGATAAAGGGTTTTTATACAAACCTGAGAAAATGGTCTCCTGTTTTTCAAGTTGCTGTACGCTTTTTAGAAGGTACTCATAATTACAGTTGAATCTATCTAAGACAGCCACCCATTATCTAAGAGAAAAGTGGTCGCCTTAAGACAGGTGAACGTTTGGGCAGTACTATTACAATAGAAAAAAAATGCATGTGGGAATGGGAAGCGGTAGTTTGCACAGGTGACATTTCTTGTACAGGTAGTGTACTTGTAATAACAGGGACAAAGTGTCTTTGTTTGACCCAGCTTTACAACATGAATGAAACCAAACTGAGGTTACTTAATTTACATGTGACAAAGGTGATATCCTCTTATTCTTTATAAGTTGTGAAGACCCATGCTCCATTCAATAATTATTGCCAAGTTCAAAGTACATGATAAAATATACCACAGACCTGACTGCCATAGAAGATCTGCTCTGCCTGAGAGACGTCCAAATTAATTCCAGATTTACCTGAAAACAGAGAAAAGCAATCAAAATTTGAGAAAAATTCCCAAATGACATTGTGATTTATAATATTCACAAGATGATTACTCTATCCTTTGTTTGAGCTGACACCGTGGCTGAGAAGCAGAGTGCTGGTCACTAGTTTAAAACATGTGGGTTCAGTTCTTTTATAAGCCTGCACTTCAGCATTAATGTAATTTTTATATTTCTTATATCATATTACTAAAAGGTATGAATAGAGTCTACACTTCATCTGAAAATTATCATTGATAAGCGATTACTTTTGTTAAGAGACAAATTTTGACAATTGCCAGATAAGAGTTGAAACACACTTTAAATAATAGCGCTAAGCAGTAACAAATGTTTGTTTGAGTCGAGATTCAGATTGACAAAATAACTATCATTTAATGCCGGGACGGCTAAGCCAGACAGGAAAAGGGAGTAAAGCACTATTGACGTAAAGGAAAGAGGGGTATAAATTTAAGTACAGTTGTAGCTTTTTCAACTACAACCATGACTAACAAAATGATGTTAAGTTCATATTTCGGTGAGGGCTGTTTTTCTTAGTTTTTCTTATAATCTCCCCCCCCCCCCCCCACACACACACACTCAAACGTGGAGCCTTGTATCTAAACACATCAAATGCTTCACCTTAAAAATGATAAGATATTGCACCTAGTGGAAGGTCAAACAGGAACGATATCGGAGACAAAAATGCGATAAGAAGCAAACAAAGAAATCCAACTGACCAGTAAGCAGACCGTCAGAGGGCACCACGACCACCATGCCTTGCTGCTCCCCCTGACCAGGCGCAAAGGGGGACCCGATGATGATGTCATCAAACTGGTCAGAGTTTAAGTCACCGGAGGCCAAAGTAGATCCCAGATTACAGTAAAGTTCCTGATATGAAAGATGAAACATCTATCAAAGTTATCATTAAAGTTCAAAAAGTACATTGTGACGTCGTTAAACTGCTCAGAGTTTACATCAATGGAAGCCAAAGTCTGAAATGCCAAACAAAAGTTATTATTCAAGAGCAACAAGCTGAAAAAGAGTTCAAGATTCTAAATACATACTGAATTTTGGGGAGCCATAGATATAGAAGCAACAGTTTAATAAGGCGTTCATGAACATAAACCAATGAGATATATGATTAATAGGCTTTAATTTCATACACTCTCTCACTTGAGAGAGAGAGAGAGAGGGAGGGAGAGAGAGAGAGAGAGAGAGAGAGAGAGAGAGAGAGAGAGAGAGAGATAGAGTCTCTACTGGAACTGCATGTTCTTTGCATTACCGATCACTTTTTTACCGGAAGTTCGCTATGTAAGTGAAATCTATTATTTTCTATTAATATATATTCAAAATCAGAAAGTCCCTCTACGTGAATTGTAACAGTTGGATGAAATATATTTGAATGTTATTTACCTTACACTGAAGAATCTCTTTCAGTTCAAACTTGCGCCGCTTTGAGATGGAGTACACAAACGCACCTCCCTGAAATAGGGATACATGCAAACACATTTAAACTAACAGTAAATAATCATCAAAACTACTAATAAAAGCAAGAAAGAGAAAAATATCCACACTTTAAGCTCGTAATTTATTTACACATTTAAATAGAGAAAAAAGGTATCTTATTTAACTTAAAACCTTGGCATGCACGACTGCACACATTGTAATGGGAGACGCATTGGATAATTCTCATAGAAAACATGACAGTTGTGTGTCATTCTAATCCGTTGCAATAAAAATGATGAACTAGTTAGTGGTTTGCAGGTGCTCCGGTGTGATTCGCTCCTTCTTTCCTAACAGACATCTATTATCCTTATCTCTCTTCCATCTTTTGTTGGTATGTTACACTCTAGTAACACTTCTAATCTTTGGCACTTGTATGACCTGATTGTTTTGCAAGTGCCATAATACTCTTACCAAAAATTTTGAGGAAATTCAATGTCAGTGGAACTGAGCATATATCATTGGCAGAAAAAACAACAGTCACCCAATCCCTCAGATTCATACATCATAACAAGAAAGGACAAGGACGTATGACGTAATCAAAGAAACAAAATCCTCTGAAAACACTACCGTATAGGTCAGGTTGACAGAGCCTAAGCTCGGTGCTCCTACGACAATGTCCAGACTTCCGTCCTGATCAAAGTCTACAACGCTCAAGGTTGAACCAAACTGAGAATGGGCCTGTAGATGAATAAAATAATTTCTTTTTATTGGACAGGGCAAGATATAGCAAAAACAAAAAAACAAAAAACTCACCTCACTGTGTGACTAGGTTTATTCTTCAAACTAATCCTCATGACATTTGAAGATTGCTTATGTTCATATGATTTTAAAGAAAAGCATCATCATTACCTTTAAAAAAAAAGTAACAGTCCAAAAGTTGCGGTTCAATTCTAGATAGGTGGCTTGCTGATTGGCAACTTAATTGAGGACATTCATGTACAGATACATATTTGCTAACTAAGAGAGTTATAATTAAGAATTCCAGCCAGTTCACACACATTCATTTCTCCTGCAGTGTGAATACAGCTCTCATTGTTAACCAAATCCCCACTTATTGCAGCTTAGGAGTTCACCACAAGAAGCTAAAGGTTGTCACAATAGAACTTATTCCAATTCAAGTCCCATCAGTACTGAGTCAGCAATCCTACATTGAGTTGTATTAGTGTGAAATGGTGTACGTCACTTTGGGCTGCAAAAGCAAGGATTGGGTTAGGAATAGAAAGGTGGGTGTAAGTGTTTCACCGTGGCAACCAGCAATGGCATGTTTGTGAAATTGTTCTGCATTGATGTGATATTGTGTATTTGGCATTCTTTGTACATTTGTGTGTTTGATCATGTATATATGTATGTATGTATGTATGTATGTATGTATGTATGTATGTATGTATGTATGTATATGTGTATGTATGTATGTTTGCCATTGTAACTCAAATTTCCCTGCCGAGATTGATAAAGTATAATTTTTCAATCTTTGAAAACTGCAAAATGTGATTAATAGGGAACATAAAAAAGTTATATAGACATAAGTTGTGACACCGACTCCTGTAACACATAATCTGAAAACAAGAATGACCGAGAAGCTTCCACCCTGAATTATACAAATTATTTACAATTTTTCTTATTTGGACCATTCAATTTAAGCTTCTCGCTCATTCTTGTTTACAGATTATGTGTTACAGGAGGCAGTGTCACGACTTATGTCTATATACATGTCCTCTTATATGAATGAAGTTCGTGTTATTCCCCAGTGCCTTTGCTGTTGCCGACTTGGACCCGGATGGTAATGAGGACATTCTGTACAGAAATCTAAAGTCTCTTCACAAGAGCAGCTTTAGTAAAACATCAAAACTTATCACTAACAAAATTAGGCAGACTCATAAATGACCGCACAAAAATTTATAATGAGCAATAATGAATCACATACACCATTGTTTTCTTCGGGACCAGGTATCTGTATATCCGCCGCTTCACTGATTTCAGAATGAATAAGTTTCAGACCATCCTTAGTACCTATGGATAAAAAGCAAAAACAAACTAAAAATAAGTGCAAAATCTTGAACTCACAGATCTTTTACAAAAATGACCAGACCTGGGAGATGAGAAGCAAAAGCAAAGCCTGGAAATTAAAAAGGACCAACCCAAACATATGTAAATAGAAATGGATAACGATATTGATAGTGATTCAATTCAAAATAGATTAAAAACAGAGGAGCAGAAATTTAGATCTTTCCATTTACATAAACCATGTCCATACAGTGTAATTTTTACATAGACCCCCCCCCCCCCCCACCCACCCTCCAAAAGAGAATGGAATGAAACCCACAGATAAACCATGCCATAGCGAAATGTTACAAACTTATATACGGAAATGAAAAATAGCAAAGAATTAAACATCCATTACACAGTTTTGTTGTTTTGTTTGTTTAGTATAGGGTTTTACGGCGCTCGCAACTGCATAAGGTCATATGAGCGCGCGGGACACACCTAATACTTTTTCGTTGGTAGGAAATTTTGAATTTTGCCCGGGTGGCGGCCGAAGCCTACTCTTATCGATTTTAGACCACCAAGGGATCTTTAACGTGCGCAACTTGCACACGGGTCCTCCGAGATTTTTCGCCCTTGTCCGAGAAGGCTAGGTGTAGATCTTTCCTACCAGAAGATCAGGGGTGTGGCAGAAAGACAGCAGTAAGGAGGAGCCAGGGAGTAGCAGTAGAAAGGCTGCAGAAAGAGTCAGGAGCTCAGAGGAGGGGGCAAAGGGGGTGAGGGGGTGGGGGCAGAAAGTGGAAATGAAAGCAGACAACAGAACATTGCTAGAGATCAGGAAAGGATGGGAAAGGAGACAATTTTAGAGAAGAAAATTTTTTGGTCGCTACCCGGAATCGAACCCGGGACCTTTGAATGAGAGGCCAACACCTTAACCTCTAGGCCACGAGAGCCCCCTTACACAGTTTTGAGTACAGAGTACACTGACACAATAACAGTCATTTCGTGATCGGATAAAGAAAGATTGATGGACAGAAACAAGAGAGGAAAAGGAAAAGAAGCAGGATCAATCAGTCGAACCTTTCAACTACGCACTTACATGAAAGAGCAAAACAAGCATCTTACCAAAGAGAATGAAGACCATGCCGTTCTGCTGATGAGACGGGGACGAGTGCCCGGGACTTCCCACCACAAGGTCCTCATTTCCATCCTGGTCCAAGTCGGCAACAGCAAAGGCACTGGGGAAAAACATGAACTTCATTCATATAAGCAGTCTTTAAAAAAAAGTTTTAGGACGTATATTACAGCACTTGCAACACAATAAGGTCCTATAAGTGCTGAAGATTAGAGGTTTTACAAGAGAGTATCAAACACAAAAAAGGAGGGGAGATAAGGACAATAGATGTTGGATTGGAAAGAACCAAACCACACCAGAGCACCCGCCAACCACCCACTAAACAGTCTCTCCACAAACAAAAGTACAGTAAATACAGAACAGTGACGTCAATTTCTGGCGTTGAAATGAAGATGACCATATCAAAACACCAATAACTGTATAAAGCTGAGGACCATAGTATAGACATGAGAAGTACATAGAGACAACAACAGTCATTTAGAGCTGGGTAAAAGAAAAACAGACAGATAGAAACAACAGGGGAATAATAAAGATTTACAACCTTCGAGACATGCCCTTAAACCACCTTTGTACGGACCATAGACATAAATAGAGAGGTGCGGAAATGAAGCAGAACCTTCAGTGGATAATATTGATTTCTTATACCAGTACTTACTTGGATTGGCTCAGATAGCAATCTGTTCAGTTAGGTTTAAATAAGAGTTTTACCATACTTGCCCAACAAATAAGTCATATTTAAGTGCCAAAAAATAAAAAACAAACCACACTAAGGCACCCACCGACCACACATAATAATCTCTCAATTGACATGCACCCCCCCCCTCCCCCCTCTAACCCTGTTTTGTTTTAGTAAGGTTTTACGGCGCTTGCAACTGCATAAGGTCATATGACCGCACAGGGGTGGATGTCAACAGAGAAGTCTAAACGGGGAATCAGGCTTACTCTGCTCACCTCTCTAGCACCTAACAGCACAAAGTCTGCTGTGACTATCAAGGCACCCCGGAAATAGCAGTTCACAAGGGAGTGACAAATATACAAAATAAGTAGAGGAAAAATGACGATAGTCAGGATGAGGAAAGAAAAAGCAGCAGTTCCCCCTATGTTGTTCCGGCACAGTATGAGTATGACATTGATAAATCAGCCCATTTACTATTCTACTGTGCATAGGAATATGTTAATATCCCCCCTTTGGGAATGGCTTAAAGACAACTTCAGTCCGTAGCACTGCCCTTGAGGGGGGGGGGGGGGGTTTAACCCTAGAGTGACTGAAGTGGTTCAAGTAGTGATAATGAATAATAACCCTTCAACCAACCATGGGTACAGTTGGAGACGATACACTCATTCAGAAAGGTCTGAAGCAACCACAGACCCAAATTCAAGTCATTACAAGCCTGGAAGCTGAGAATGCTTCAATATATCATAGGTTCTGTTTAGGTAATAATAAATTGTAAAGCACACAGACAAAACTTTCACATAGGAATATGTGTTATATAAAAGCAGTTTATTATTATATCACAACTTTAAAAAATCATATTTTGAACACTGTTGCACTCTGGCAACCACAAGCATGGTGCAATGCCTTCTGTGTCGCGTTTACAGACTGCAAAAGATGCAAAATGTATCACCTTTATACATATCATCATTTTTCACGTTACATTTTCTGACAGCTTTCCTAATCCACCTTACCTGCCAAGCTTGCTGTAAGGCAATCTAGATGTGAACACAAAATCAGGAGTGCGTGTACGTTCAGCTTCAACTGTGTCCTTCACTTCTGTATTGACGGTTTTATTCCCACTGTGGCTAGAGCCCTGTGGTAAGCTATGGCCGGCATGGTCCTTCACATAGCCTGTTTTAGCCATCTTTTCCTGTATTGAAATATAAGAAATAGAAGTCTGAGACACTGTACTCAACCTCAATGTGATAAGTAATTTGCAAATCAAGCTTTTTTTTCCGTTTGTGCATACTATCTTTTCAAGACGGTAGCAGGCCCAGTCTCATCTTTTAACATTTCTGACTGAACCAGACAATGTGAGTTCCAAAAAAATGTCTTCAACTTCAATCAATTTTTAAAGAAAGATGGACAGGTACAAATGTACGAATGAAAGGAAACCACAAGGCAAAAGTGTTTTATGATAAAAGTTTTGAACATTAACTAAACCCTGTAGCAGCTGGAATACAAGACCCTTTTTTATTGATTATTTCACTGAGAAAAATAAATACTTTTTCACTCCATACATAGTACAAAGTTAACTGACATCAGCGACAAAAAAGGACAATGTCGCTATCAAATATGTAAAAAAACAAGCAATGTTTAAAGGAACACTATATAAAAAAATGATTCTTACTCTCAAGGCATCACTGGGTTGTAAAGTAATTCCTCTCCCGTGTCTCTTCACCACAACCTCATCCATTAGATTCATAAGATCAGGATGAGGCTTCATGTAAAATCCATTTTTTGAAGCAGTTGAGCGTTGTCTTTGTAAAAGGCTAGAGTCGCTTGTCTCATTGCAGCGGAGGAAGAGAGGGTTATGATCAAGATTGCATTGTCTGAAAAGAGAGTAGGCAGGAAGAAAAGTCAGCAGTAGAACATTGGGCTGTCTCTTTAAAGAGACTGAGTACAGAGAAAAACATCTAAATGATAACTGCCATCTAGAGCAAAGAAAAAGCAAGAAAAAAGGACAGAAACACAAGAGGAAAAGAAGGGAAGCAGGCTCCACTTATAGTAGTGCCCTCTAAGCTCCCGTCCACTGTGATGATATTAATGTTTATGATATCATAGCTTTCCATGTGTTTGTAAATAATTGAGATCTTGACTTAACACTGTGGGAAAAGAGAGTTGGTAAAAGTAAGAGTCTCCAGACCTATAAAAATGTCTGGTTAATGGTTAATTAATAAAATTAGAATACGCACCTGCAAACAAACATACACACAACAAATATTTAGCTTATACCCCAAAAAAGCATATGGGTTGATCCCAGCTGCATTATTCCTCAGTGCCTGAATGAGAAAAAAACATTTTTTTTTCATTACACTTTAAATTCCTTTAAAGAGTCTTTCTTTTTCTTCTTCATTCTTGACGACAGACGGTTAATGAATAGATGTGCACAAAATGTGCGGTTCACATGGGCTGCCATACACTTTTTTTCTCCAATGTTGTAGCACATTGACATGTCTGTGCTTTTTAGTTTAACACTTTCCACCCATCAGTGTGCAGGGCGCACAACCTTTGCCCCCACGGACCAGCAAGCAGATGGTGTATGTCAGTTCTGTATCTCGGCAAAAACACCCCAGTCATTCTGAAATTTTCCGTACATTGAGAAAATTGAATGTGATGATTGCATTTCACCAAAAAAAAGAATTAGAATTAGAACTAAAAACATTAGATCTAGCACAGTCATAACCTGAATTCTCATCATGGCGTCAGTGTAAAGTAGCATCATGCTAGGTCTACTCGACATTTTCCCAAAACATTTACTCCAATAGTTGTAAACAAACTGATTTGCCCCCAAAGGCTGCACAAACCATTCAGAATGGAAATTATAACTTAAACACTACAACGATTTTGTTGCTATATCACACCGTCACTGATCGGCCTCTTGTGCGGGAAAGAGATGGTTGTTTACCATCGTCGATCAGCGTCCCATGGGGGCAAAGTGTTATACAGCAGGATCTTTATTGGATTAATTTGCAAATCGAATTCCACCTTGAACAGGATACTGATAACATAACACAATACGATTAACAATTTTTTTTAAAAAGGTGGCTACAAATTCACTAAGATGGGTTGGTCTAAAGTGCGAATTATAAAATTGAAATGCAAATTTAGGAAAGAGCAGTTCAGGTATTTGTATTAAATACAAACATAAACTCTTTAAATCTCTGAGGGGGGGTAAACCTACTATGCCTGGGCCCATTTGGTACAAAATCTAAAATTGACATATATACGTCACTAAATTGGCCATTAAATCAAAACTAGTAAACCTATTTTGATAGTTCTTCCTCTAATGAATTAACTCCTGATAAAAGAGACCTGTTTTCAGCAACAGCCGAAAAGTAATTTGACGTCACAGTCGAGGTAAAAAAACTGTGCCCAAGCCCCTGCCAGCAGCTCACTGGATGGCACAGCAGTTCTGACCGTGAGCTGCAGGTAGCGGCTTGCCGGAGATAAGGAGTTAATCAACTGACTAAAATTTCACATTGTCCTTGTTCACTCACTGAGTTCCATGCTCCAGACCCCACGCGATGTACTTCCATATACGCTGTGTCCACACAGTCATGTCTTCGATTCCCCCGAGGAAATAGTTGTACAGATTGTCTACCAAGAAGGGACTGTTCTTGGCAGTTATAGGAAAGTACTGAAACAAAGAACAGAAAACACTAAAGAACATAGTTTTTGAGTTTAGTAGTAGTTTAGTATGGGGTTTTACGGCGCCCGCAACTGCATAAGGTCATATGAGTGCGAGTTTTTGAGTTTGAGTAAAGAGAAGCACATTGACATATCAATGGTCTTTTACAGCAGGGAAAAGGCAGACAAGCAGAAATAATAGAGGGGAAGGAGAAGAAGCACCCGTTAAAAGTATATATGAGTGGGTAAGAATTGAAACAATGACAAAAAACACAGAAGAGCATATGAGTGTGAAATTACTGAGAACAGAAAAGAACATATCATGATAGTGTAAGTATTGAAATAAGAAGAGCAAAGAATGAGTTCTTTTTGTTTGTTTAAAAAAAAAGTGTTTTACAGCGCTCGCAACTGCATAAGGTCAAATGAGCGCGCGGAACACATTCAGTTGGTAGGAAATTTATAATTTTGCCCAGGTGGCGGCCGAAGCCTACTCTTATCGATTTTAGACCACCAAGGGATCTTTAACGTGCGCAACTTGCCCACGGGACCTCCGAGATTTTTCGCTTTTGTCCGTGAAGGATAAGTGTAGATCTTTCCTTCCAGAAGATCAGAGGTGGGGCTGAAAGAAAGCAGTAAGAAGGAGCCAAGGAGTAGCAGTAGAAAGGCTGTATAAAGAGTCAGGTGCCCAGAAGAGGGGGCAAAGGAGGTAAGGGGGTGGGGGCAGAAAGTGGAGACCAAAGCAGACGACACATTGCTAGAAAGCAGGAAAGGAGGTGAAAGGAGACAATTTTAGAGAAGAAAATTTTTTTGTCGCTACCCAGATTCGAACCCGGGACCTTTGAATGAGAGGTGAACACTTTAACCTTCAGGCTATGAGAGCCCCCATACAATGAGTGTAAAAGCACTGAAAGAAAAATAGCAAAAAAAACAAACCACATGTGAGTAAAAGCACAGAGATAAGAGCAGAACACATTAAACATCACACAAGTGGAAAAGAGCTAAAATTGTTTGTAAACTTTCAACAATTTTATTTTGAGTAAAAAGTACATTGACAAAATGATGGTCATTTAGCACAGGGAAAAAGTAAGACGTACAAATAGAGACAAAGGAGGGGAAGAAAAGAGGTATGACCCGCTGGCAGTAGCCTCTAAACATTCGCTGTCCCAGCACAGTTATGACTACATTATGCAATAGTTTGATTGAGACAACAGTAGCAGTGAAGTAGGAGAGACAGTGCCAACCACAAGCCAATTGCTTAAAAGGAGCAAGACCAGAAAAAAAAAAATCTATGAAGAGAAGCCAAAAAAGTATTACCCATCCAAGCCAACTACAAGCAGTAGAAAGTGGGGGGGGGGGGGGGGGGGGGGTCAGTTACGTTATAAGTACAAACACACAGGGATGTCAATTTGTATCGATGTCTATTTAGATTTTTACCTTTCTAACAACCAGTCTTTCTGCGACTCTGAAAAAGAAGAGAAAAGTAAAATCACAAAGAGATCTGAGCTAAATAGGGACATATTTTGAATTCTTTATGTAGTTGCCTTTGCTAGCAACAACATAAAACTTAGAAACAGTGGGAAAAAAAAGAAGCTAAAAAGTAATAGGATTTTTTTTTCATAAGAAGAGGAAAAGGAGACCTATCCCTCTAAAAGAAAACTCATTCAGACACAGAATCATTCAAATTTAATTTATTTACTGTCTATGATAAGTAAAAAATGTCAAGCTTCAAGTTGCACCTACTCTCTTATGGAGTAAAAAAAAAGTCAGCATTAGCCTTGACTTTTTATTTTTAAAAGGAAACTACAGCCCCCGTTACCCTTCTATTTCACAAACACAGATAGACACATACACAAATAGTTTATCAAACTAAATTTTCCTACTATATATTCAAATCCATGAAATACATTTGTATTCCTAAAATTGGCGCAGTTATGATAGAACATTGAAGTCTTGATTCTCAGTAAGAATAGATGAAGTTCCAAAGTAATCATCTTCTACAATCCGAATACTTTCAACATACTTTGCAAGATACGATATCTTTGAGCAGGTCTCCAGTACGTCAGAGTCTATGACCAGTTTCCCATAATATGCTTCATAGATGTTGATCAAGTCATTTGATGGTATATACCTGTAGAGGAAGAAAGAAGGATATTTCTAACAGGAAAATAACTGTCTGGACAATTATGTATTAATACAAGTAAGCAGCATTTTAAAAATGTCTACAAAAGTCAAAACAAATTTTCCCTTAAATAGATTTATAGTATTCATAAAAAGCATTTTTACAGTGCATATCCCCACTCAACAGCAAACTGTATGTCACCATTATAGTCTATAGATGCTTGTGGCGTCTATGGTCTAGAGGGTTAGGCTGTGAGGCTCAATCTATATTATCACACCAGAAAATTGAAGGGCAATTAGAAACGTTTTTCACTTCCCGAGAAGCATACAGTGCAAGCAGCTGATTGAGTGCTAAAACACTAACAAAACAAACAAAAATCTTTTACTGTCTATAACAGCTTGCACTAAAAAAAATAATTCCATCTTTTAAGGCAAGAAACATCCCTTGTTCCCTCAAATAAAAGCATTAGTCAGAAGTTATAGACCTAGGCTTCTGAGCTGTAACAAAGAAAGATATAGAAGGTCATTTTTACCATCATCCATCAAAATGCTTCCATCTTAACCATCTTGTATAAGTATACTTACGATCTTAGAGCATGCATCAGAATAACATTGAGTGTGTATCTAGCTTAAGATTGTTATTGTTTATATTGCTGCTCATTTATATTATGCATGTGATTGTAAGCCTATGTGTGTGTGCATGTGTGCGTGCGTGCGTGTGTGTGTGTGTGTGTGTGTGTGTGTGTGTGTGTACATGTGGTGAAACACCAAACCAATGTGCCAGGATCTGGACAATAAAGATGTATCTTATCTTATCTTTAACCAGGCACGCAATCCCGCCTGGGTGAAGTGAGGAAAATTCATGTAAATTGTCTTTTCCAAGGACACAACTTCTGGCCCTTGACCCGGTTTGAACCCTTGACCTTTCGGTTGCTAGCCCTACAGCCTAACCATTTAGACCATTGATGTCACAAGCATACTTAAACTGTAATGGTGACGTAAGTTTCGGAAAAAAACAAAATGACTGATGCATAAACACAAAGAACTATGATAAAAATAGGACTTAACATGTTAGTTGACGTCGAAAAAAAGAGATGCTCCACAATAATGTGATCAGAAGTGTTGTGAAACACTAGAAGAAAGAAAAAATAATTGTCTGCATTTTTGAAGAATAAAGAAAAAAATCATAGTCTAAATCACAACTGTGTCCAAACATATGAAGTGATATAATATTGTAAACACAAACAACACGCCAACATTCAGCTCTTGCCCCTTCCCTTTCCATTAAAAAAAAGCATAAAAATTGCAACAATCTTCGAACAGACAAATAGAAAGACTTTCTTTCTTCCATTAAAGCAGATAACACACTGTGATAATGCACATATTTTTGTTGTTATCCTCTTACATTGTACCTGGTTCCTTGAAAATTTTTCATCATAAAGGAAACCTGTCTCACGAGACAAGACAAAAAAGTTTTACCCACAGTGCTTTCATACTATTTATAGTGCAGGCTGAATCCTCATTTTTTATTGAAAACCTGTAAATCAACATTGGCAACATTGTCAGGACAAAAATGAATTGACCTGTTTGTTCCAGTTACATGCTTAGTACATTACAGCATTGATACACAGTGGAATCCAATTAAACTGGGATTTTTGGGACTGCCAGATTTTCTTCAGTTTAGCTGAGTTTTTGGTTTAGAGAAGTTGCTCAAATAGAAAGAAAAAAATGGGGATTTCATTTTCTTTCGATTCACATCTGTTTTTTGATTAACCATGTTCAATTTAAGCAGACTCCACCATACATATCCGACACAAAAATCAGGTGTATAGTTTGACTCACCATTCTCCTACGATGTCACTATAACTCAGGTCCAGTTGATACAAGTTCAAAACTTCACCTCCTGAAAGCGGGGATAAAATCAAGTACAAAAGACATCAAGTCTAAGTAAATACCATAGACTTCAAAGCATTTGCAGACTAGCTCAAACAGGAATGACTGTTTAAGTCTCAGTGGCTAGCAAAAAGGATCATAATGCAATCCACTTGTCACAGAGTAAAAACAATAACTCACATCAAAAGTAGAAGCTTTCAAGCCCACAACTAAGGACAAAATTCAATTTGTAAAAAGAACATTCCCTTACCCCAAAAAAAATTTTTTTTAAAAAATTAAAAAAATAATCTAAAAAATCCACAACGCTATAGCAAAACTAATTAAAGATTTTAAGGCAAAAGTGAGTCCCAGTCTAGAAAATAGCTCATTTACTTTAACACTGAAAGACCATTATCGCTTCCATAACATGATGTGATAGAATCACTGTTTCAGTGCCACTAAAGTAGAAATGATAAATAAGTTTCATGCTCAGAACAAACATAACATTACTCAAAGGAATCCAAATAAAAACACACCAAGGTCTCCATCATGGTGCGCTGTGCCATAGACGCCATGATAATTCGTCTGAAATTTAAAAAATAAATAAACAGAATTACTGACACATATACGGATTTGTTTGCTTGCGAAAGGAAAAGCATGTCACGGTCATTTACTGCATGGCAAAAGCAAGAATGACAAATAGAAAAACAGAGGGTAGGTAAGAAACTACAACCTGCCAGTGGCACCTTCTACCTGCCCATAAATTTTTAATTGCCCCAAAACAGCAGATCTGCAGCAGAGAAGTGATGGCTTTTCCCCATCAAGGAAAAAAGCAATGTTGTTACAGTTAGGAGCACTCTTCATTAACATTCTAGGCCAATAGTCAAAACCTGATATAACCAGATGGACAACAGTTTTCTTTCTTTTTTTTTTTTTTTTTTAAATTTCTGGTTGCAGACAAACTTTTGTAAACCAAATCCAACCAAGCCCACATCTTCTGCTAGCAAAGTCAAAGAGCATAACCATTTCACCATATCAGAGGCAGGAAAACTAAGGAAAGTTGTAAGTATAAAGCAATCCAAAATAAGGACTCACAAAACTCATGGTAGACAGAAAGCCTTGTGGGATTCCTAACGAGTGCCACGAGACATCTGCCACCTGATGGGAGACTACTCCCATTAAGAAGGCTACCAGTTTCTGGGTGCTCTGTGGAATCAGCGTAAAATAAAGTGCCAACGGAGTAAAAAAAATCTGTTAGAAAATTTGGGATACCATACGGTCAATTCTTGCAAATACACACACTCCCACAACTGGGTTATCTAATCTTATGGAGATGAATTTTAATGATAAATTCAAGGATTCGTTAAAGATGAATTTCAGATTAAAAACATTCATCTATCTGCATTGTTGTGTTAATACCGGCAGTGAAAACCATGAACAGCACATTTTAATTGCTGCAATTTACAGATGTTCACAGTTATATTGTTCATTTTGGGTGTAAAAACAGTTTTCTGAGAGAGTGAAGGCATGCCCATTTGATGAACCTCCTTGAGATATTTCTGTTTTTTTGTACCTTGTACCAGAAGAGTGACTACTAATTAGAAGAAAAGCACTGTCCAAATTCTGATAAATTGTTACTACATGTATAATTGTCACAAGTCATAACACAATTGCCTCAGTCACTTTTCGTTGTTTTGAGAAAACTTAAAAAAAAAAAAAAAAGCTTACCTACATCAACCTCATGACTCAAAGTGAAAATGCCTCAATTATTACATTATTAGAACAGGAAACAAAACTTTATATTGATCATACGAAACAAGTAAAAGGCATTTTACCATATCAATAACCAGAACCCCCTCCCCCCCCTACAAAAAAAAAACAAAAAAAATTACCTATACAATTGTGCAATGACTGTGGTGTTATGTTATGTTCATCATTTCACATTCACAACTTCAGATAAATGATGAAAGGAAATTTACCTCATCCCATGGCTGTGGGTAACGATTTCTTATGTAGTTGATGGTGACATTGCTGAAAGGTGTCCAGTGTGTATCCTCCGATACATCGTGGTACTTCCCTTGAGATCATAGAAAGTCAAATAAAATCAAATTACAAGTCAGACCACAGAAAAGTTGAAGAAAACGAAAAATGAAAGTCTATCCCGTCAAAGTATTTGCCTAGAGACCACAGAAAGGCAAAGAAAATTGCATAATTGATGATCTAATAGATCATGATATTTCCCCGAAGACCAAAGAAAGACAAAGACAATCAAATCAATGTTGATTTGAATATAGTCCACTGTTTCTTGCAAGTAGGAACTCTGGGTTGAGAGCCATTTAATACTTTCATCACTTTCAAAATGAACAAGCTTTAATGTAAAACATGCTTAAAATTGCTCAAATTTTTTTTTAAAGTTATGGAATTAACATAATTCAAACAATATATAAAAAGCCTTTGATCTAATAAAACTGAACTCTCTTTTGAAAAAAATATTGCAACTCATCCAAAAGCAAGGATTCTAGCAAACACAGATGCACCAGCATTCATGAACACTCATAAACATACATTTTATCATAAAAAGATTTTAAAACACAATTTAGCTACCACTGTAACAAAATACTACTTAACGAATTTCCTTAATTGCAAGTCAAGACTTCAAACTAAAGACACTGGTGATACTGAGTGGTCATATTTGTGTGAGGTTATCAAAATACTCCAGAGAACAAACCAGTATAATCATATGTGCAGTTAGTAGTACAGTGTACATGAAGTATACTTACCCTGAAAACAAACATCAGGATAAAATGTGTCAGGGAAAGCATTGCCAGCTTCCAAAGCATCTTGGTGTTTACTGATGATCTGTATGAAGTATGAGCATGCAAAATGAAATTTATAGTATATACGTTGTTAGACGAAGTAAAACAATAAATTTTGTAATTTTGTGGCAATTTGGGGGGGGGGGGAAGGGAGGAAGGAGGAAGTTGCAGGTATATATTTTAAAAAATAACAGACATCTCCATTCTTTTAACCCATTCGTAACATATGGTTTTTCCAACTTTTACTGCACCCAATTTTCCGTTCAAAGCTGTTTTAGTGTAATTATAAAATCCTATACGGTGTACATAGTAAGGTCCACGCAATTGTCGCAATCAGCTGATTTTATGACATACCTCGTAAATGAGGACAGTATCTTGGCACACAATGTTGGATGTACGATGTACGGGAGCTGTCATGAAGGGGTTAAGAGTACTATAGCAGAGATGATCTTCAAAAAAATTTTTGACTGTCACTTTAAAAAAATGCAGTCCAAACTGAATTTTTTTCAGGCATTTTACCCCCATAAAGACACAAAAATCAGGTTTTCTGATTATTATCGTTACCGTATTCAGGCTTTTTTCAAACAAGCCTTTCATTTGACCTAACTAACACAATGAGACTATATGCAACTTTCTACAAGACCAGACAAAATGTGATTCTGGTAATAGTAAAAGGTCTTAGCTCAGTTCTCTTCAAACGAAAGATTCTGAATGCCAGTGTATGTTAATCATTGTCTTTGTTTCACAAATATCGTAATTAATCAGAAAAGCATAGTTGATTTAACTAACCTTGCCATAGCTCTCATTTCCGAGTTCATCTCTGAAGTTGAACAAGGCTCTGTAACCTGTGAAGAAAAAAAAGAGTATATTTTCAATCGTTTATATGAAGAACATACAATGCAGGCCTACTTATACTTAAGGCACTTAAAGTCAGTGATCTGAAATAATTTGTCATGACAGTATCTATTTTAAAAGTATTCAAAATGTCAACAAGTGACTGCAATTAACTTTGGATTTAAAGACAAGAGCCTTCCAAATTGATTGTGAACTAAATTATGTGACGGAAAGTCTTGTTTCATCTTCCGACAATGGACAAAACTGCACTGAAACTGGAATTCTAAGCATGACTGTAAACCCGCAAAGACAAAGTCTTCAGGAGGGAAAGAGAATATAAAGCAAATATATAATAAAAAAAGTAAAACCAATCAAAAAAGATTACCGAGAACAGTACAAAATCTCCATCTAACTTTGTAGAAGGCATGAGAAAGACAGTTAACTTGAACAGCTTCTTCATCCCTGACCCTGACTCACGGAGATCTCACATTATAGATGACTGCTTTGTTGAGTGCTGAGTGCTCTTTGTGGTTTATATATATATATGTCACATGTGGTCAACCTTTCTACACGACTGTGAATGCTGGACAATTACTAAAGACAGTGAAAACAAAAAAGAATACAGCAATGGTGTTTCTCAGGAGACAGTTGAACATTCTATGGGAAGGAAAAACAATCAAATGAGATAGTGCTGAAAAAAATCAACATGGGCTGCTCACAAATAACAGCAATTAGGAAGAGACAAATTGCAGTTTCAAGGACACTTGAACCGACATAAAGGCCTTGAAAGTTTTACTGTCATTGGAAAAACAGAATTATAAACAAGGCAGGGGTAAGCATAAAGCAACCAACAAGAAAACCATAACAGATGGGGATGGGGAATAGACCAGGCTAATAGAAAGCTTTTCAAGAGCATCCAAGCCGATCAGTGAAGGGTGAACCACGATTGTCCACGTCTGTTTAAGATCATACTCTTTATTTATGGCGATGAAGGTCAAAATTAAGTGACAGGGGTTAATAATAATAATGTACTCTATATGATCACCTGTAGGGCAAAAGAAATAGTTCAAAATAAAAAGGTGGATTTGAAGGAAGGGAGAGAGAGAGAGAGAGGAGAGAGAGAGAGAGAGGGAGAGAGAGAGAGAGAGAGAGAGAGAGAGAGAGAGAAGGAGAAAGGGGGGGGGGGGGGGGGGGGGGGGAGAGGAGGAGCGAGGAAAAGTGTTCACTATTGGTTAAAATATAGTTCATGTCACAGTTTATGAGAGTGAGACTATCAAAGTCAAGTTTAATTATCAACCATAAATCATCGTTGGTTTACAGTGGATGACCATTATCACAGATTCAATCAAAAACATCAATCATTTTTCCCTAAACCTGCCATTCAAAGCACCAATTTGCTGTACTTTAAACATTTGAGATGGGTTAAAGTATTATCTTTTACCAAACAAAAGACTTTAAAGAGGCCCAACTGAATATGACTGTTGCTGATAATAGTTAACTATCTGAGCATGAAAATCACTTATGGTTGGAGTGTGATCACATGACGTTTGTTTTACATCCACTCTGAGATAAACAAGCAGGGAACTTCTCTAGTCAGTATTCCCACACTTGGCTAAAATAGCACTTATTTGTCCTTTACAACTTTAGCCAACTGAAATTAGTCAAAAGCTTACAAGTTCAAAGCCAAGGCATAAAAAATTCAACCATGCTTTTGATAAGCTTCGAGAAGAAGAGAATAAACTGCTAGGTTTCAGACTTAGTGGTTTTTTTCCTTCTCTTTTTTACCTACAAATCCAAGGTGTTTTTAAAGCTTTAAAGAGCTAAAGATAGGGTAGAAGTGACAGTAGTGAGCTCAGATCATTAGAAGTTGACAGGCTGGTGTATGAGATTCCCCTTTCACATACAGTCGAACCTGCCTAAGACGGGATTGCAAGGGAGCCAGAAAAAAAATTTGGTCTCATACATTTTACGTCTTAGGGGAATTTATGGGTAGAGAGAGGGAGGCTCCAGAGGCCCAGCCAGTGGGATCATGGTTTGCTTATCGAGTTGGAAAGCAGTGGTCAAAACCTCACACCTCTCAAGTAGCATCTCTAATAATAGCATCATGCGTTAGTCCCATTTATCCATTACCACCAATGCTTGCATCTCATAGGACCACTGTTTGACCTGTTAAAAACAGAAATGACAAAACATCTCCTTTGCTTCCATCCTTAGCCCCTACCTACCATCAGTGTAAGCACAATCAACCAATGCCACCCCTCCATTGCATACAACAATACGAGGAACTTTTTTATCAGCTGGCCGTCCAATCAGGGCAGCAGACATTAGTTAAATTTATTTCACACCTATGGCTACTCAGGAAAGTTTCCCGGCTGGAGCGCCACTTGAGCACTTTCACAGGCATTGGTGAGATTTCACATCCACACCACCCCGACTATCTGCACTGCTCAGGGTTCAATGCATGGGGAAACATCTACACCCAAGTAGCACCACCTACTTCCCTTCCTTGATTTGTAGCAAGGTGTAAAGTTTAGAGCAGATGGAAAAAGACTTGATAGTGTGGTTTCAATTCAGGGCTGAGCAGGAATAGCATTTTCCTCCATAAACAGGTAAAAAACAGGTAAAAAAGCTTTGTTGGAGGGAAGAAATTTCTCTTTGTTTCTGTTTTATAAGTAATTATAGAGGAATTTATCGAGATGGGAGTTGGGATTTTCTGTTATGACAGGTTTCTGTCTTAGAGAGGTTTCCATTAAGGCAAGCTCGACTGTGTATATGGAAACTCTACAAGAATATTTTTTCCATCCTATTCTATTAGCATTTTTACCCCCATGAATATCACAAGGTACTAATGGCTGATTATTACACTTAGATTCTTGCATTAAATTTTTAAGGTCTACTGACATGTGAGGCGTGTTGACAAAATGAGTTACCCGGTACTTCTCTCAATCCACAAATGGGAGATATTGGCCAAAATTCGACACTAGGTTCAAATTTGTGATTTAAAAAAAAATGATGCCATATTATTTTTTAAGTACATAAAACAATCCTTTTATTATTTCGTACTTATGAATTGTAAAATCTTCACCTATGAGCGTGCCGTATCTTTTTCCATAGGGCTCGAATCCGAGAAGTAACTCATTTTGTCAACACCCTTCACATATATAAACAGCGGAGTCCACTTATAACGAGTCCTGAAATAACGAGAAGTCTGTTTTAAAGACACTATTCTAAAACCCATTTTTTTCCCTTCTTTATCTTTGTAAATAAAATACTGCTATAGCGCAATCAGACAAACATGAGAGTCGGTTATAGCGGAATATTGCTGCTGCTGTGCACAGACCAGAGGCCTTTTGTACATATATATATATGTAAAACCTCGCCAGTTGAGAAACTTGTCAGTGATCTAGCAAAACAAAGAATGGGAGAGCCCATGTGTGTCAACAATGAAGGCGGAGCGAATGAGTGGGGAGGGTGTGGCATGCGCAGACAAGCAGAACACATCGTGCCAGCCTTGTTTAGATCATCTAGGCATACCATGCCTATCACTTCTTCGATGCGAGGATGGAGAGGTCACAGTGCTGTGAACTGTGATGGATGGAGCGAATGTGTGACGTGCGCAAGCAGACGGAATGCATCACAGGGTGTGGTGGGGTGGGGGACAAAACAGCGGGCGAGTTAGCCTTGAGAACTTTCTTTCTGATCACCAATGCCCAGCTGTCAACATCGCTAGCGTTACAGAAAGAAAATTGATTCGATTTTTGATCAAGTAAGACCCAGAGGTCATGTAGAACCAAATCATCATCAGGGGAGGTAACAAAAAACAACAACCAGAAAACCAAACTCATAGATTAGGCCTGTACCTTATTATTTTCCTTGTATTTATTACTGGATCCCTTATAACGAGCATCCTGCTATAACGGACATATCGTACCAGTCCCCTCCCTCTCGTTATAACAGGATTCCACTGTATATATATCGCTAGCTGCGTGATTCAACCGCCTAAGTGACAAAAATTTGACCATAATTTGATGTTTTGCAATTAGCTTTGATAGGCTGTGATCTCTCCATATCGGCACGCGCATCAAAAGGTAATCGTTTAGAACCAGAAGTAGTCGTCGGTGGGGTCAAAACCAGTATCCCCAAACAGGACTAGGACATTCTATAGTTTTTTTCAGTTCAAATGTACACATAACAAATTCAAATGCTGCATAGAAAGACCAAATTACACCTAACAAATCCAAATAAATGACGTCATAAAAAGTCCTAAATAATACAACAATAGCAAGTTCAAATGTAAACATAGAAATCTCAAATGTAACACATAGCAAATTCAAATGCCACATTGCAATTTCAAATATATGCTTGAAATGTAAAAAACAGGCTAAAAGTATAAGAAGTGTAAGAAGTGAAAGGGTCATGGAAAAATTAGATATGTAAACCGTGTTGAGCCACAAGGAAGAAATCACGTGAAACGAAACTAGTTGTTCATTGAGGCAGGACAGGAAGCCGGATTCATGAGTCACAGTAAGTCGGAAGTGATGTCATGCTGGACAAGAATCAGAGTCCGAATAACATTTTTTCATATTCGGACTCGAGTCCGAATAATCACTTCGGCAGATAATAGCATAGTGCGTCCACATACGGATAACTTTAGAACGACAGATGTACGCCATTGGCCGATATTTATAGTAACAGCTATCTTGTTTGACGTCATTGAAGGATTCCCACTTTGTTGTCATTCACGGTGGCAACACGACCGCAAAGCACTAGATCTAGTAGTTCAGTATTTTTAAAGCCTATAGCTTACAGTGGCGTGGTGGCGGAGTGGTTAGTGCGCTGCTTGTCTCCAAAGCAGCAAGTCAAGTTCGAGCCTCGGTTCGGCCACAAATTTTTTTTTGGTGCTCAATGACGTCAAACAAGATAGATCTAGCTGTTACTATAAATATCGACCAATGGCGTACATCTGTCGTTCTAAAGTTATCCGCATGTTAGTGCAGATTTTATTTTTAGATCTAGATTTTCTAGATCTAGAAATCTACAGCACAAAATACAGCAGCAGTTTCACCCCCCGGCCAAAGCAGTGAATCTGTGAGCGGGAGTGAAAGTAAACATTTACCGTATAATTAGGGAAGTAAAACGTTTTTAAAAAGTTAGTCAGTTGATTCTTACTTATTTCTATGTGAGTAATTGCTCCACATGCCTCACATCGATTCAACCAAAACATAAGAAAAAGTGAAACAAGTAAATGTTTCTTCATCCTTTCCTTGGGCAGCAGACGATGTTTGTTGTTCTCTGGATGAAAGCAAAACAACAATGTCAACAATAGGCCTACTGATTTGATCACCGTGATCTGGGCCAAAGCACAAAACCAAGGAGATTAGGCTGGGCTGTACTGGGTCAAAGTTCATCGAGTATTAGATCAGTTTATTACAGATGTAACTGAAGCCAAGTAACTGGAAATAGAAAAAAACCCAAATAGCCAAGGCCAACAGAATATCCTATTATTCTGTGAATAAGCGCAAATGGATAATACTTAATCGACAACATTGGCAAATAAACAGGTCGTCAAAGGAAAACAAACAACGAACGACAACCGCTTCCTCGACTTCCTCCCCACATCCGGAAACCTGACTTCAGAGACAAAAGATCTTGCCTCTCCTTGCTCTCTCTCTCCTCCTCCTCATCTTGTCTCAGCTAAGGCCCAGGCCCTACACTCTAGGCTACGCTATCGACTGTTGGCTGACCGAATTTGTAGGTCTACTACAGGTTTGGCTGTGGGGAGTATTGTCAAGGACCGGCTTTCTATCTTTATATTTTCAAGGTATGTTAAGATTGTCTATTTCAGTGGGGCAAGATCTAGAGTCTAGATAGGCTATCATCTAGGCCCTTTGACTTGAAAGCGAAGAGGAGCCGTTGACATGAGAAAGAAACATCAATCAGCGTAAACATGATTCATTCTCACTCCGTCACTCGATATCACGATAGATCTAGATTCTAGATTATCTAGATCTATATCTAGATCTAGATTTAGATCTATATTCTCATACTCATACTGACTCAGACTGGTCTAAAAATGTAAGATTAGACTCTAGTTGAACTTGTACTCCACACAACTACAGACTACAGAGAACATCTCATGGTGTGGTGAGATGAGATAAAAATAAAGTAAAGTTTGTCATTGCTGGACCGCCAGAGCTATTTTCCTGAACGTTCGTGTGCGAATACTATGACATTTTATTTGCACAGGCTGTGTGAATACTGTATGAATAATATAATATGACATTTTATTCGCACAGGGTTTGTGAATATTGTGAAATTTTATTCGCACACAGGGTCAGGGTATGTGAATACTGTGGAATTTTATTCGTACAGGTTGTGTGAATACTATGAAATTATATTCGCACAGGGTGTGTGAAATATTATTGGCCTGTCCTCAGAGAAATTTGCGCGCGCAACCCGCAAGTTGCGCATGCAACTTTTGGCCTCAGCGCAACTTTTGCCATTTTCGTGAATTAGCGAATTTTAGGCAATTTTCGGCAAAAGTTGGAAAAATCATTATTTAATTTCGGTAAAAATAACCGAAATTTTCCTCCACAACTAACAATTGTGACGCGAAGTGGGACAATTCGTACCTGAAATTAGATCTACCCCATAGTCTGCTGTAGAATTCTGTGATCTACCCATAGAGTTACCCCCTTTTAATGGGTCTGCCACACTTCCTTTGCACTAGATACGGGGTGTCCAGTGCCCGTTGCGGATGAGATCGGGTCTGGATGATCGCCCGACTCGTTGCCTGAAAACTACGCGTTTGAGGCAACGAGTCGGGCGCGATCGATTTGTGCCACGATAGCCACTTTGAGCCATAATCAGTCAGTCGAGCAAACCGACCCGTCGTGACCTCCCCAATAGTCCTGTTTGGACTGAATCATCTTCTACTTCTTCTAGATCTAGCTAGATCTAGTTAAATCTAGACTCTAGATATCTATAATAGAGTAAACTCAAACTCAATCGTAAACACGATCGTGTGATTACTTAGCTTGCTTGGTTCCGTAGCACCAGGTAGATAGATCTAGTATAAAAATTTGTGAAAGACTTTAAATCTTAGGCCAGGAGGGTAGATCTAGACATGGATCGATTCATCCAGAAAACCCCTAAAGGGGTCGTTCAAATATACTCTTACGCCTGGAAAAGGCCTAAAAGGGGTGGTGGGGGGTGGTGTCTTGACTCCTGTGAAAGAAAAGTGTAAGAAAAAGGGGGTCCTGAACCAATATAATGTAATATTACACACTTAAAAGTTTTTTCTGGAAAAGTTCCGCTTATACCATATTTAATTATTAGGTCACATGTGTGTATGATTGTTTTTCATGAATACTATATTATGTTAAAGTAAAGCGCATAGAACAATGATTGTAACACAGATTTGCGCAATATAAATGTCATATTATTATATAAGCGAATAAATACTACATGTAGTATTACAGCATTTTTTTCGGGGGGGGGGGGGGGGGGGCAAAAATCCCCAAAAAAGTGTAAGATTATAATTGAACAGCCCCAAAACCACGCTAGTCACACCTGCCCAACGTCAGCGAGAGTTTAAGGACCTGGCGCGTGTTTCAGGGAACAAACTGTTTTTCTACACCATGCAACCTCCGAGCAGTTGATTTTTTTTGTTTGTTTGTACCGTAGACATTCACATTTAACTTTTGATTTTGATCTAACAAAACTCACGCTGGTTATTTTGATTGCATTGAGCATACCAACAATGTATTCCAATAATTCCATGACATTTTAGCTATACACGTCTTGCAACTTTTCTTGCAACTTTAGTTGATTTTTCTTGCAACTTTTTGCAACTTTTGCTATTTTCAAATGCAACTTTCTCTGAGGACAGATTGGCACGAGGCGTTTCAAAAGAAGGATGGAAATGAGAGAGAGAGAGGAAGGACTTCCGTAACGAGCGACCACCCCATCAAATACAATAAAGAAGAGGCCTAGTTAACCCTAACTCTAACCCTAACCCTAACCCTACCCCTACCCCTACCTCTACCCCTAGATCTAGCCCTAGCCCTCAATTCTGCTCTGTCTCATAGTGGTCGCTCGTTGCGGAAGTCCTCCCGAGAGAGAGAGAGAGAGAGAGAGAGATGAGTGCATGCTTAACCCTAAAACTGAAACAAGTATGCCATCTGAATAGTGTCAGTTGTTTTAACATTTAAAATTTAAAGGGTGTGACAAACGAGGTCCAAAATCAACGAAGGCTCAACCCTGTGCGAATAAAATTATTTCTTATTCGCACACACGGTGTGAATAATCACTTCCTTATATATTTTATTGGCCAGCTCTATTTCTCCGAACGTTCGGGAAAATAAACTTGAACTCTATTTTTCCAAACAGTTTCCGTTCTCGAGATTTGTTGATAATAAGCGAATGGAGTGGCCCGTGTGTGTGTGTATGTGTGTGTGTGTAAGCTGTGAGCGGATGGGGGGGCGGCGTGGAGGGATTTTTTTTTTTTTACATGAAGGATTTTAGTTTTTGCTGGGTGACTAAATGCAAAATAGGTTAAACTGCCACGGTCGAGCAGTCTTGTTTTCTCGCAGTACCTTTTGTAGGTATTTTCAAATGAAGAATGCCCGGGAATGTTGCCCCAACCATGACTGAAGTATGTAATATTCAGACATTTAAAAATCTCTAGCTCTAGAAATTGAATTTGATGCAAAAAATGCTTCTTCCCAGTCCTGGCAGAATGGCAGAATGAAAGGGTGACGCCTAAATCTCGCAAATAACCAGAAAAATCTCGAGTTCGGAAACCGTTCGGACAAATAGAGTTGACAGCTTTATTTTCCCGAACGTTCGGAGAAATAGTTACTTTGTATTTTATTGGGCTGCGTCTATTCGGACACATGTCCGTTTAAGCTCCTAGATTATTCGGACTCGTCGTGTCAGGACTTCTACCCTAGCATAACAATGCGAGTACCGTACATTGTAGATCTTTTTCTTTTTGAGAATGACATGCTTTTCTTTCTTTTTGGACCAATGCATCTTTGCAGAAAAATTGTATTCTATTTTTCTATAAAATTTATAGAATTGTGAAAACCAATCATGATTGTGTGTCATTTCTTGGCATAAATCGACATGCAATACATGATGTTTTTAAAAGGGGAAAATTGACATGTTCTTTAGAAGGATCGTGTCAGTGTCCGAACAGATACGGTGGTTTTATTGTTGGCATTAATAATATTACAGTCAAACCTGTGTAAAAGACAGCAACTCATTGTCAAGGAGAAAAGAGGCCGTATAAGACAGGTGGCCGTCTTAGGCAGGACTGGTCAAGATGAAGAAAACAAACCATTCCCATCTGATCATCTGAAGTCCGAATCGAAAGTAGCCACATTGTTGTTGTTTTTGTTCTTCTTGTTGTTGGTTTGTATTTTGTTTGTTATTTTTATTTTGTTGGTGATTTTGAGCAAGGGTGACAATAAAACGAAATGTATCAGAGAAGGAAGACCGAGTGCCGTGTTAAAACAAACACATGGGTCCCACCACTCGGAGAACGAGGGACGCTTCTGTCACAAGTTCATGTTGAGGTCCATTGTTACTTTGTTACAGACTGGGTAAACAGTGACCACTCATCTCACTTCCGATTTGTGTATGAGTTCTGGGCTGGGCTTATGGGTTATGAGGGATCACACGCAGCTGAAAATTGGTACTTATTGGTCAACGAGGGAGGGGCCTACGCAACATGATCGGTTGGAGGGACTACCTAACAACAACAACAACAAGTGATTGGATTATGACGGCTCACCCACAATGCTAGGGGCCAATGCACAATTTATGTCAAAACGTAATGGAGTCACTTAGGTGACCGTCTAAGACAGGTGTTATTGCTTAGTGTGATAAGGGTTGTGTGATAAAATATGGTGGCCGCGGCCGTGTTGGACAGGTGCCCGTTTTACACAGTTAAATTATATAGAAAAAACGAAAGTGGGGAAATGGAAAGTGGCCGTTTGTACAAGTGACCGTAAGATGGCAGGTTCGACTGTATACAGTCAAACCTCTCCTGACGGCTACCTTTATAAGACGGCCACCTGTACAAACGGCCACTTTCCATTTCCTCCCTTGCGTGACAGAAGCATCGCTCGTTCTCCGAGTGGTGGCGATCCATGTGTTTGTTTTAACATGGCACTCAGTCTTTCTCGTCTGATACATTTTGTTTTGTTGTCACCTTTATGCAAAATCAGCAACAAAATAAAAATTACAAACAAAATACAAACCACCACCACCAACAAGAACAAAAACAACAACAATGCGGCTACTTTCGATTGGGACCTCAGATGGGAATGGTTTTGTTTTTTTTCATCTTGATCAGTCCTGCCTAAGACGGCCACCTGTCTTATAGGCCACTTTTCTCCTTGACAATAGGTGGCCGTCTTACACAGGTTTGACTGTATACTGACAACAAAGTGAACACTATTTTCACTGTGACCTGTCACGATAATTATACTCCAGAGTATAAAATGACTGAAGTGGAGTCTGCTTAACTCTTTAAACCCCATCGGACGCTGAGAGCGTCCGTTGGTAATAACCCTGTTCCCCATCGGATGCTAGGAGTGTCCGATGCTAATGACGAACTGTTTCATTTCATTTAGTGAGCTGCTAGTTTTTGCTTTTTTTCGGAACTATTCCTGATCCAAATTTTAAAAAGTACAACAGCCTTTGTTTCCGTCATTTAGAAGTTGGAGGCATGCTTTTGGGGTTATAACGAGACATCAGAATCAAATGGTTTGGACATCTCATGCGATTACCAACACACCATCCAGCACAATGCCTACATAAAAAAATTCGATGGCAACAAGGCTAGAAGACGCCTGCGAAAGACCTGGATAGATGAAGTCAGGGAAGCACTAACCACCCATGGCATCCCCCTGACCCAAGCTCTCCGGCTGGCGACAGAGAGACGTCTCTTTCTTCCCGCGACTCCCAAAAGGGTATAAGCGGCGGATAAAAGTAAAAGTAAAAAGTAAAAATGAGACATACTGCACCAGGGTTTAGTTGCTGTAGAAAAAACTCCAGGAAACTGTGGAAAAAACTGAGGGTTTTAACACTAACAGTACCAAAGGCTCATAGTGAAAAACGCTTAAGTACCGCACCAGTTTAGAATGCTGATGCCGTGGTAGAATGTTTTTAATTAAAAAAACCTTTGCGGCCCTAGAAACAGGCTTTGAAAATTCACAGAGATTCATCAACCATTTAACTATCATATAGAGTGACTTCCTTTGGTATTTACTTAGTGTGGTGCGTTTGTTTGTTGTTTAATTATGTTTAGTGTACCTGATTGCGTCGATGACAGTCGCCAGCTGTAGTGAGCGCATACTAACTATGGCCTGGTGATGGTACATTAAGTGTTAAAGAGTTGAGGGACAAACAAAATAAATTTAATTCTCCTCAACATGAGGAGTGCCTAACTGGATGGAGCTTTAGTCGTAGTAAATTATGGTAGCATAGTCACCCAGACCAATCAGATCACTTTTCGAGTTTATATATGCCTCAGAAGTTTCGTTTGGGTGTTGAGTGTTGGTGGGGTGATGCTTTTTTTGTTGGAATTTAAGATTTTTGTTAAATGTTATGTTTTGATTTTAGTCAGAAAAATAACTTTTTGTTGAAGTACAGGTGGGGCTGAAGCTGCAAGCCCCAACCCACAAGATGCCACTGGTGTTTCGAAACATCACTGACATGGGCTCTCTTTTTTTTCCTTTCTCCATCTACTCTTTCGTCTGTTCTGCATGACTGTTTAGCAGATTAAACAAGCTGCAAGCTGACAATGTCAAAGAGAAAGCACAATGATTTGTCAAGTACAGCCTGCAGCTCAAATTGCAGACTGAAAGAGGCAGAAATGAGATAAAATCTTTCAAAAAATGAAATTTTCCGCAAGCAAGCATGGCTTAAAATTTACAAATCTAGGTTGTTGACTCTCATGACTGTCTGAGCAACCTCTCTGAACCGAAAACACAGCTAAACCAAAGAAAATACGTTGGTTCTGTAGATTTTGGTTTAAGCAGACTCCTGTATGAAATTTTCTCTGATTATGTTATAGAGCACACATTCTGACTTTGTTTTTACTGTCAGACATGAAAGTTTCTGTCGCTTTATTTGTTCCTTTAATAAAATAATCTCTGCTGCTTAAACTGCCTTTTTTGAACAGTTTGATCAAATTTATCTCCATGTTTCTTACTTCTCTTAGCTGATGACATCATGTGGTGTTGTGGAACTTCACAATATTGAGTAATACACAGAACAGTAAAGTAGTGATGGCTTCTCAATGTCACTGGATGCAACTCAACATGTTTTTGAAACTTTTATCGTTTCAGAGACTCATAATAAATCTTTCAAGATGTCCAGCAGGAAGACTAAGAAGACCACGAAGAAACGTGCCCAGCGCGCAACGTCAAATGTGTTTGCTATGTTTGACCAAGCACAGATCCAAGAGTTCAAGGAAGCCTTCAACATGATTGACCAAAATCGAGATGGTTTCATTGATAAAGAAGATCTGCACGACATGCTAGCCTCGCTGGGTGTGTATCTGCCAGTTTTCCTGTACATGGACGAAAATTGTTTATTTTGAAGAGCAAAACAGATTGTCATGTCAAACACTCTTTTTGTGATTTTATGCTTCACAGTGGTGAAGGTGTTTGGATACATCCGTGTTACTGTTTTGAAATGCTATTTTTCTGAAGAGATTGGGAGGGACAATAAGTGTAATACAGAAAATATCTGTGAGACTTAACATGAGGGTGACACAATGAATAGGTTACGATAGTAGGAAATCTTGACCTGAAAGAGACAAAAAATAATGATTGCTATTATGTGGTTCTTATGTTGATACTAATTAATACAAGGCTAAGAAAAATGTAATTTTGTTTAAAAATATCTTTTTCATTTACCAGTACAATGTTGACACAGGATCAGCATTTGCTGATTGTGATGAACGTTTCCAGTTAATTTAATTTCTGGCATGATTTTGTTTAGCTGTATAATCAGGGAAGCAATTACTGTGGTGTGTTGTTATATTTTTATTCATTTTTTTTTTTTTAACAGGAAAGGACCCCACAGATCCTTATCTGGATGAAATGATGAGCGCTGCACCAGGGCCTATCAACTTCACAATGTTCCTCACAATGTTTGGTGACAAGCTCAATGGCACTGACCCAGAAGATGTCATCAAAAACGCTTTTGCTTGCTTTGATGAAGAAGGAACAGGTATACTTACACAGATAATGAAAATTATGGGATCTATTAATTGCCTGTCAATGTCAAATAGTATCTGTCCTTGTAAAGTCAACACTTAAAAAAAAAAAGTCAGCTAAAAGGAGCTATTGAGAAGTCTCTTAATATCATCAGTTATAGTTGTTTGTTATGTATACAGTAGAACCTGTTCTAATGACCACCTGTCCAAGACAATCACCTCACAAATAACCGCTCCCCACTTGCACTTTTTTCTATTCTCAACTCCATTGAAAACGCCTCACATAAAGAAATGCGCATGGAATGAAAAATATGGCAGGGGTTAATACATTTGTTTACATAGAGGTGTAAGGACATATTGCCAACACATACTGCTCAAAAGAAGTTTTCTGATCTGAGTTCATGAGTTTAAGTTGTATAATGTTCAACATACCCCTGTCCATAAAAAGTTCAGTAATGAGCCTATTGCTGTGATGGTAACGTGTATTCCGTGATGCAAAGATCGAGGAAGACTTGGAATGGTTCTGTGGCAGGTCATTCTATTCTTCGATCAATGCATTATGAAGTTGTGCATTGGCGATCCAATGATTAGTGTACACTGTGCATCCTAACTTGTACCACAAGTCTGGCATTGTCCTGCTGAAGCGCATGCATGAAGGTGTGGATTATTTCCAAAAAGGGGACAACATGAACCTGCAACATATCCTGGGGATAAGTTACAGCATTGACAGTTCCGTCAAAAACATGCAGAGGTGTCTTGAGGCCAGAGCTGATTCCGGCCAAAATTGTGTACTGCCTGCTCCCCATCTGTCACCATGGGCAACTGAACAATCTGCAAACGGTTCCTTAGTACGCCGCTTAACTGTTTTTCTTCCATCTTGATAAGATTTTCATGGAATCTAGACTTATCAGAAAACTTAGCTTCAACCCTGTCTCTGAGCGTGCATCTCGAGTGTTTGTTGCACTAGAGTACGCGTACCACAGTGCTGCCAAACTTGACCGCGGCCAATTCCACGAACTCCCTTTTCCGATCGCTTCACATGCTTTGTTATCTCAGAGTGGTTTCCCCTTTGTTACACACTGGGATTTCTACCGCCACCCAGTGCGTGCACGTGTTGCTTTGCATTTTATTGATCTTACAAGTTTCGTCCATTGGAAACTTCGTTTTTCATGTTTCAAGGTGAGTTGCTTTCAATATCATGTTCTCTTCACAATAAGAGTGTTATTAGTAGTACTGGCTATAAAGTCCACTTAAATTGAACAAAGTATCGATGTCAGGTGATTAAATTAGCCTCGCTGTAAGTG